GAACTGTCGTTCGCGGTACCGGCGAATTCTGTCTACCTTTAAAAGAGAAATTTGGGACTGATCAAAAGAGTTGGTATTCATCCCGTACGACACGCCCGACCACCAAGCCGATTTGCACGAAGACGTCGCCGAGCCGTCGCTCCCTTCTCGTGGCTGAAGACATCGCTCGCGCAAACGTCAAGCACGACGTGTCTACTTCGAGTTGAATATGCACGCGTACGATTTCTTTACAAGGTGCAAATGTCGCCAATGCGTGGTGCTTCCCGACTTCGACCCGGGAGTGCTTTTGTTAGAGGAAAATCGGCAGCTAACTTTCCAACTTACAGTTTACCGGCTGAATTATTACTAAGAAAAGAGATCCCGGAATGAAGAGTTGCCCCAGTAGCTCAGTGGGTAAGACGTCCGCTTCACACGCGGTAGAACCGGGTTCGATCCCCCAAGAAAACTTTTTTTTTATTTTTTGATGTTTACATATCTTCTTTTTTACAATTATCACTGAAGAAACAAACAAAAAAATAACAAACACATGTTGTGGACGACACTTCGCTGAATTAAATGGTATGGGATTTCCTTGTTGACACCTGCGAACTCAATGTAATCACTTTCCACAAAATGCAAGGAGCATATAAATCAGGTAACGTCCGCTTTCCGAGGTGTCCGTATATGTTCTACAGGAATTGCAGCCAGCCATTGGTCCCGATCCCGTTGATCTTTCGGAAACTCTCTCGCACAATGCCCCTTTTTTTTTCGGACGCAGGACATGTGAGCCAGCTCTTCACGCAACATCTTGGGTGTATTCTTTTCGGAGCCGATCATGGAAATTCACCACGGGCGCTCACAACTCATCTCCAGCTTCTCAATGTACAAAACAACTCATCTTGGAGTACAGAACAACGAGCGGAACAAACATAACTCACGGCGAACAGTTCCCGCACGCCGCATCGCACGCCGCATGTCCTGTCGTCTGCTACCGGAGAGGAGAAAAAAAAAAAAAAAAAAACGCACGGTCGGGTGTAGCCACGTGACTTCCGCCACTCCACTCTCTTCTCTCCACTTCTCCGACCTCCGTCGGGTTTCGGTTTCGGTTTCGAGCAGTTGCGTCTTTTGGCTTTATTAAAAAAATACGCTACGCTGTTGCAAAATATTAATTGGGTAGTCCTCCGACACCATAATGAAGCGCCTGGCAAAATATGAAAAAAAAAATTTTTGGGGGGTGTCAGTGTCCCTTTAAGCGTCTACCTCTTTTGCGGTTTCCACATCTCTTGGGGGTTCGGGCAAGCCAGCGGGCACGGAGAGAGTAACTAAATATCAATGCGTCATATTTTAACCGGTCGACGCGGAAACCTCCTCCACCGACGGGGGCGACCCGCGATTCCGAAAGTGACATCTTTGGTCCTGGGCTTTCTACTGTTCAGAGCCGCTAAAAGCTTCTTTTTAGTCGAAATACAAAATATAAGTGGCGCGAACCGTTCCAAATATTTATAAAAGTAGTTTTTGTTCAATATTTTAGATCAGAAAAGAAACAAATGCAGTTTATAAAGTACGGAAACAAGAAATGACCGGTCGACATACCCGCCACAAAGCGGTGGAAAAGGTGGCGCGTACTAGAAAGGAGTAGTGGAATCAGGTGCCGACACGGAAAGGTCCCGGATGTACGTGGCGGCGCTGCGGTCGTGGGGACTGGAGGATTCGACCGGCTCCGAGCGTTCCGAAGGCCTTCGGCGAGCAGCTTTGTATGGCGGTTTGGCCGTTTCGCGGTATGGCAGCGCGAAGTGGCTCCCATTCTGAACTGATTTTTACCCCGTGTTTTCTGTCGTTTGTGGCCAATGAAGTGTCATGCCGAATTCGTGTTTAATCGCGCAGCAAATGCAATGCGAGCCGCCCTAGCTGCCCGCTTCATACAGCCTAGCCAGAAAATGCTTTAGTGGCGCCCTCTCGAGCCGTCGACACGGAGTGCGGCAGCCGTGAGCGCTCGCTGAGCTCACTTGCCCTCCTCTAGTTCACGGCCACTCAAGCAACCAAGGACGTCGTGAAGGAGGTTATTTTTTGCTTGTTTTTGTCATTTTGATTTGCCTATAACTTTTAAAATAAAGCGCAATTCGAGAAAAGTTTTATTAAGTTACTACGTTTAGCGCTGAGGTTCGGTGCAAATTAAAAATTAGTAAAAAAGTCATTGCAGGGCCCCTTTAAAGGGCAACTCCGCTTAGTTTCAAAAATTTTGAGATAGTGGCCGATTTTGCTTTTTGAAGCACTCAAAAACAATCCCCAATCCTTTGTTTCGCGAAAAATAAAATATTTTTCGTGTAATTTTACACAAACCGACACCGAAACGGTGGCAAAGCCGGACAACATTGTACATTCGGCATCACTAAGCATGTACACCCACGTGATATACAAGGGGAAGAAGGAGCTCCCCTCTTATCAGGATCCTCCTTTGTGCCTCCTGGATTAGCACAGGCGTCGCTATTCTCCTCCCAGAAGATTATAAAAGATTAAAGGGATACGGAATCGAAACTTGAAATATAAAGAAAACATCAAGAAATGAGTTCAATATGATCAGCTAAGCCTGTAATGAATAATCGCACGGTCGTATTTTGAGCAGATGGCTATATTTTATGCTCTAAATGCCGCGATTTTGGCGAGCGCTTCAAAATCAGCCATGGAGGAGCGCGATGCATCTCGGGAGATCCGGCAGACGTCTTGACGTCATCATGCCTCGGACGACCAAGCGTGCCGTAGTGACGAGTTTTGCCACTTGGAGGCGTCAACGCGTTACAATCTCGCTTTGTCGAAGTACCCAAGGGCTGTAGATATCGCGGGGCCAGCACGCGCACCAAACCTGAGAACAACCGAAGCACGCGTTTGCACGTCGCGCGAGAGCTGAAACCAAGGTGGCTCACTTCGTTTTGGCTCTTTCCACCAAGACGCCTCGGTATTGCGTTCAGGCCTAGGCAATCTATACCAGTGAGCGGACATACCGCTGCGGCGCTGCTTTCAGAGGCATGTTGTCGTCACGACATTCCATTGAAGCTTCATAACCAACTACCAGGTGGTTTTTGATTATCGTTTAATTCACTTTAAAATATGTTTTCTTGCGTTTTCTAGCGCCATATTTATGTTTCTGTGGTTGTGCTGCTACCTGCGTCGTGCTGAAACAAAGAAATGAGCTCCAGAATTTGGTTTCCGTACCCCTTTAACCCATCACTCAAAATTCTTACAAAAGCCGGCCGAGCGCGTCACTCACGTCTCTCACGGTGCTGGCGCCACCCGTGCACTCCCCGGGAAAGAAAACAAAATTGAGAAAAAAGAAGCTGTACACGCTTGATGACGTCACGGACGTGCCGGGAGAAGGAATTTGGAGGTAGCGGAAATGCAGCCGGGCAGTGTTGTCTGGTCCGCACGTCTCCTCCAAAACCAGCGGATTCGTGCTTGTCAAACTTTGACAGCGATTTTAATGAACTTCTAGGCGGAATTCCGTCGTAATATTTGCCATGGGGGTTTCGTAGATGATAACAAAGAGAACTGTATAGTTTTACACTACTGAAAAATAAGCGGAGTTGCCCTTTAAGGGCATGGTTTAAATGAGAAAATTGTTCAGCATCATCGAAAAACACTAAATCAACGAATTGCAGAACGATAGAAGGCGCGCGAAGTGTGGCGGACCATGGCCGGGTCCGCCACTAAGCGCTTTATATGTGTCTCCGTAGTTGACTATACCCCTTATCTTACAAGTTGCGTGCAGTGTTATCGAGCGAACAGACGCGGAAGTTTGTTCTGATAAATGTTTTGTTTGCAATGCTTACACGCTTATTTTTTTTTATCCAATGCATTTTCTTTAGTTTTTCTCACTGTACAGCTATCTTACTGGCTGACATGGCAATTTCATTGGCTGCGAAGCGATGATGAGAAATCCAGTATTCGTTACTGTGCCACCTCGCGCAGTGTTGGGAAGTACTTTAAGTACATTGTACTTAAAGTACTACTTCGAGTAGATTTAGGAAATTTGTACTTTACTTGAAGTACATTCTCTGGGTTTGTACTCGTACTTTACTTAAAGTATTTTTTCTGGTACTTTCCGAGGAAAGTACAATTCCCGACTTCAAAGTACATTCCTCAAATTTGGTGTTGTTAAATTTGTATTGTGAAATTATGCTTTGTCTCCGAACAAATACTGAGAGGGATATTCTACTCTATCCAGAAACGTGAGCAGACGAAGCGTCGCTCCGTTTGTTCGGGGGGCGGCTTTCCCGTAGCTTTTTGAAATCTCGCTACTTTTTGGTCGGTCGGTGCGAGCAAGGAGTTTTGAAATATTGGGAGAGTAATATTAATCATAATGTAGAACCTGAGACTGTGGTGCGGAAAGATTAACTTTCAAAGTCGAAGAAAAAGACAGCAGAGGGGAACATACATCACAATGTTTTGAGACATTCTCTTTTGTCTTTTCCTTCGACTTGAAAGTTTCTTCATTTTTTCGCAACCCAAACTCAGGTGTCATGTTATGATTAATTATCACCAGCTCGCTCGCACACTCACTTTTTTTTTATTGAGGAGAGGATACTTTTTATGAGAAAATTGTTTGCGGCCACAAAATAAATGGCCACAAAATAACTATTCTGTGGCCATTTGACTTTATCGAATATTCGCCGATGTTTTTGAAAATAGGTAATGCACCCCTGATTACCTCTGGGAATGCATACCATTTAAAAAATCACTGTATAGGGGAATGAATGAGTAGCATGAAAGATTGTGTTAAAATGCTTGTACTTTACTTTGAAAGTACATTGTATTTATTGTACTTTACTTCAAGTACATTGCACCCAGTGTACTTACTACTTTACTTGAAGTACATCACATCTCATTTAATTTTTACTTTACTTGAAGTACTTTTTAGATGTACTTTACCCAACACTGACCTCGCGGCGTTTCGCAGTTGGCCCGATGGGTTTTTGGATGGAAGTTATACGGCCTCTGTGTCAATCTTCAGCGCGCTTCTGTTTCAGATTCTGCCATATTGGGATTGGACCCAGTACCACTATGCCTCGTGCCTCATCGAAAATCCCCTGTACAAGAGCAGAACACTAAGCGTTGCTGATTGCCAGGTAAGGTCTGAATCTGATGAACCAGGGACTTGACTCGTTCAAGAGAATTGTGTCGCGTCTGTCTCTCCAAAATTAAGTCATATAGCCATCGGAAAAAAGGGCCCTGCGCGTGATGAGGCCAGACATCATTTTGACATAAAAATATACAGCGTATCTCCCTTCCCCTTTCCCCCCGGCCCTACCCCCTAAAAAAGAAATTGGTATTTTTTTACCGGGATAACATACTACGCATCGCTGAACGCTCATTCTCCGCCCGAATGTAGCTCTAACACTCCGCACCAGACGTCAAAGTTCCACAACTACCCGTTATCTAAAATTCAAATGTTATAAGTGTCTTCTTCTTTCTTTTTTTTTAATTCAATGGGTAAATGCGGCCCGTTCTCGGTAACTAGCGCCTTTCAGCTCCATGTATTAAAGGACTCCGTCGGCCACCATTTTCCCACTGAACGTTTCAGAAAATCACTTTATAACTTTTGAATAAGAAAACGGTTAGTTCTGAAACTTTGGAATCTTGTTCGGATCGCTACAGCGTTACATTTGGGCGGAAAATAAGCGTTCGGGGATGCGTAGTTTATTTTTGCGGTGAAAATAAATCAAATCCCTGTACATTTTGGGCGGCGGAGGGCGGGGGCCGGGGGGGGGGGGGGGGGGGTAATAAAACAAACTTATACATATGTGCTCTGGACGTAAATTTATCTACATTCGGTAGACGAATTTCATTAAACGCAATGGGTCCTTTCTTATTTACCTACCAGAGTGTATTGTACACGCAGTCTGGTACCTATGCTATCGACCTTTGGCCCGAGCTGTTTGTTGTCACAGTCAGCATAAATTTACTTTTACTTATCTACTCGCTTGGTGTGCCGCTAAGTCTTAATCGTTTATTTTCCTCACTTCCCTTTATTTCTCAGTCATGGTCAATTTATTTGTCATTCGTTTTTGAATGCAATATCTTTTTCTTTTTTTTTTCAATTGGTTGCATTTACATACATATATAGTTTTTTTTTTGTTTTTTTTATTGTACACATGGTTGTTTTGCACGAGTACCCGAAGAAATAAATAAAGTTAAATAAACTGGTTAAGATAAAGGAGAACCGAGACGTAGGCATGTTGAGATGCGATAACCATCCGTTTCAGCATAACCCTGCAAACGACGGAATTTAAAGGGGTAGTGAAACGAAATTTTAGCGCCGATCTTGTTGCATAAATATGGGCTAGGGACAGGCACCACCTCGGAAATATCAATATCGCGCTGTAAAACACAGGAGAACTAATTTTAAACATAATTAAACGATTTCAAATTCTCATCTGGTGGATGGGGGGAAGTTCTCGTGACATCACTTGTGCCAAAATAGCAGCGCCGTTCTGCGGCAATACGGCGTGCCGGCAGAATTCGCCTAAGCCTGAACGCGTTTGCAAAGCCTTGGCGGAGAAAGTCAAAGCGTAGTTGGCCACAGTGAGCTCGTTCTCGTTGCGGCTGTTTGCGCGGCACGGCCCGAGCATGCTTCTGGCACGGCCGGTATTAGTTGCTGCGAGTCGCGAGCTGCAAGCCGACGTTAAAAAGGATATGTTTGAACTACGAGGGTGTCAGCAAGAGCCACGCAAATGCCAAATACCTGTTCACACTCGGAGCGGACAAGCGCGTTTGATCGAAGTGCTGGATTCGCTCTGTTAGACCGCGTTTCGGTAAGCGCTTCTGGACCGATCTTTTACGATTGCAACTCGATACTGACATGACACTCGGCAAAGAAAGGTTAGACCGACATCGCGTAGCTCCCACGAACTGCTATAGCTCGACACTGACGTAGCGTCGAGTCAGAATAAAAATGGCATACTAATAACAGAGTGTACATACCGAGTTGCCAAGGTAATCCGTATGGCGTTTATTTGAGTTCTATATCACACAAAACAAGGAGATAGAATCAATGAGAGCCCCTTTTCGACGACAGCGTTCGTCACCGCTGTCTCGGAAAACAAGGAGATCGAGATGACAAGGGGAAAATATTGACCACTGAAATTTAGTTCAGGGATCAAACTATTCATCCGGTAAGGGTCCACAAGGGTCGCGCGGGCATATTCCATTCAGCAGGCCAGCCGGTCATGGACAGGCGGTCTTGGCCAAGGACCGCCGGAGCAACGGTGCGCCGAGTCGATGTTGCTGCTAGGCCTACTATATTCTGCCGAGCTCGCTCGGTCGGCAGAATCGTGGCTGTTGTAGCTCTTCTCGTGTGTTTGTGGATCCTGCGTTCTTGATCGTCGTGGTCTGTTTTAAGTACTCCTTCCTTTTTTTCTTGCTGGTTGAAGTCGGGACGCACGAGAAGAGCACGAAGAAAAATAAATGTCCGTTAATGGCCGATACCAAGTAACTGAGCGACGCTGTCGGCCTTGTTGATTTGATCGTAAAAAGTGCGCAGCTTCGGAGCTGTCGTAGGATTCTGTCGTAACCTGCGCAAAGGTTACGACAATTTCGTTTCGAGAGCACGGGGTTTCTCTCAAATTTGTCGTACGCACTTTTTTCGTCGTGAATTCGCTTTGAGAATCCGGCCTCGGAGCTGGTTTTGTCAGTGCTGCCGTGGTTGCCGACTTGCCGTGGTGCAGCGTGCGTGCAGCCCTTGCACATCTCAAACGGCCACGCTGTCACAGGTCGTAAATCGTCGACGCGCCACCAAGTGGCAACGTTCGTAACAACAACATTCACGCCGTAGCCTTTCCCGACCGGCACAAGTGACGTCACGAATGCGCCCAATATCCCAAGACGCATCGCGCTCTCCGATGGGCGATTTTTGAGCGCGCGCCCAATCGGGCCCATCAGGGTGAAAAATATAGCCATCCGTTCAGGATACAAACGCGCGATTATGATTTATGAATATCATTGATCATATTGAACCTATTTCTGACCATAATAGGTGTATTTCAAGTTTCGCTTCAGTATCCCTTTAAGCTATATGGCCCCGCCGAGCAAATTAGAGCGTTTGAGCGAGTCATCAACGTATACCACTGTCGGAGTGCACTCCTCTTTCCCAAGCATCTCATTAATGCATCGCAGCCAATCAGACTGGGGCCGTTTGCCAAGTTGTAGAACAAAATTGATTGACGGGTCTTCAAAAGCCCTGCATGCCTCTCGATCGTGTTACCGCTTCAGAGAAACAAACCACGTCCCTCGGATTACCGGACCGCTGTAGAAGATGCCTGCGAAGCAGTCCGAATTATTAGCAACATAATAGAGGCTCTAATTAGCAATACGTGCATAGTCTACCTATGCGCGTGCTGCAAAGCACAAGTGCGTCTGCATCTTTACCAGGGGTTTCGGTGATGTCAGGACGCCAAGCTCTCATTGTCTCCAATTGGAAGGATGTGAGTAGACCCTCAAGGTAAGAGAAGCTCCTCCCACAAGCTTGATGTGTCCGTTTCAAATCCCTCCGAAGTCGAAAGAATAGTTCATTGGAAACGCCCCTTGTTCCGCTTCAGTGGATAGATATTGGCCACAGAGTGATGCCAACTTGTCTCCGACCCCCACTTTTTAAGAAAGCGACCTTTGTATTCATCGGAGAGAGGACCGAGCCCCTGAAAGTAGCCTTTGTTTCCATCGGAGGGGGAAAGCTCTACTTCCACAACGCTAAGTCCAAATCGAGAGACAAGGCAAATATTCACAGGCAGGCAAGACCCTCCTCCCGCGTTGGCCGCGACGTCACCGAAACGATGGGACGCTATTGGATGCGGAGGTGGCGGAGGGATATATGAATCCCTTTGAGGGGCATTTGCCGCTACCTTTTTGACCTGTAACTTACTATAGCATTGATGTCTGCCCACTATCCCTCCATCAGAGCTCTGCGTTCTGAAGTCACCGCAACCGCTACTCAAGATGCAGACGAACTTGCGCTACGCATGGACAACCTGTTCTTGGAACGTGAATCCGGTGATTTCACGCTGGAGAGCTCATGATATCAAATTATACGTTCATAAAGTTCGCACTATTGTCATGAAGGAATAGAGATTCAGCAATAAAACTCGGGTAGGAGTTTAGTCTTTTTCTTCACGCTCGCTACCCGAAGTCATGCACTTTTGCCAGCGGTGGACAACCAGCCGGAGGCCATTGTTATAGAACCCCATCTTTTTGAGTGTTCAGGGATAGCTTTACTTCAGCAATCACTTGGTCGCCTTCCTTGAAATGTCTTCAGGCTTGTGTAGCCACACTAGAAGCGTCTGCGCCATTTAACCAGTCGTAAACTGGGGCGCTGTCCCCAAACACCGCCACGCGCCACCAGCTCGGAATGAGCTGGTGGCGCGTGGCGGTGTTTGGGGACAGCGCCCCAGTTTACGAGAAGCAATGCCACCACCTCGGCATTGCTACTCTTCAAATGGAGAAAAAGGATCACTGCACGTGCTTCGACTATCCTGACGGGCGGTGACATTTTTTGTTTCGGCGACCTAGCGGCTTTCCGCGGTACTACAGCAAACTAGAGACGCACGCTCGTTTCGATGCCTGTTATGTCCCCCCCCCCCCCCCCCCCCCCCCAAACCTTCCCACCGTTTTGTGTATTTTTTTTTTCGTCGATAATACGAATTTTATGAACGCCTGTCGTAAATACTACGACGGCAAAAAAAAAAAAAAGGTTATACAATAAAACTTGATAAAGATGAAGCGATTGCTAAGAGTTTTTGGCGTTAAGGGCCCTGCAATCATATTTAAGCGTCAACATTTTTTGCGGTTTCCACGTCTCTTGGGGTTCGGGCAAGCCAGCAGGCACGGAAAGAGGGACTAAATATCGGTGCGTCATATTTTAACCGGACGACGCGGAAACCTCCTCCAACGACGAGGGCGACCCGCGGTACCGAAAGCGCGCAAAATGTGACGTCTTTGGTCCTGGGCTTACTACTGGTCAGAGCCGCTAAAAGCTTGTTTTTAGTGGAAATACAAAGTATAAGTGGCGCGAACCGTTTCAATTATTTATAAAAGTAGTTTTTGTTCAGTACTTTAGATAAGAAAAGAAACCAATGCAGTTTATAAAGTACGGAAACAAGAAATAACCCGTCGATATATCCGCCACCAAGCGGTGGAAAAGGCGGGGCATGCTAGAAAGGAGTAGTGGGATCAGGCGCCGACACGGAAAGATCCCGGATGTACGCGGCAGCGCTGCGGTCGTTTGGGCAAGAGGATCCGACCGGCTCCGAGCGTTCCGAAGGCCTTCGGCGAGAAGCTTTGTCTTGCGGTTTGGCCGTTTCGCGGTATGGCAGCGCAAAGTAGCTTCCATTCTGAACTGATCTTTACCCCGTGTTTGCTGTCGTTTGTGGCCAATGAAGTGTCATGCCGAATTAGTATTTAATCGCGCAGCAAATGCAATGAGAGCCGCTGTGGCTGTCCGCTGCATACAGACTATCCAGAACACGCTTTAGTGGCGCCCTCTCGCGCCGCCGACTCGGAGTGCGGCAGCCGTGAGCGCTGGATGAGCTCACTAGTTCTCCTCTAGTTCACGGCCACTCTCAAGCAACCAAGGACGTCATGAGGGAGGTTATTTTTTGCTTGTTTTTGTAATTTTAATTTGCCTATAACTTTTAAGATAAAGGGAATTCCGAGAAAGGAAAAGTTTCACTAAGTTACTACGTTCAGTGCGCTCAAGTTCGGTGCAAATTAAAAACTAGTAAAATAGTAATTGCAGGGCCCCTTTAAACGCATTACGTCAGCATCGTGAATGTTATATTTGAACAACTTCCGTTTTTGTTTTTCTTTTGTTATGAGTTTCAATTTTTCACATTGTTTTTGTTTCATATACTTTTATAATAAATCCGGCACGTTGCGCTTCTCCAAGGTTAGCATTGTAGTCGAGGAATTGCCGTAAAATACCTTTGTGTTCGTTGAAGTTTTAGTGTGAAACGCTACGATCGAATGGATCGTAGTTATAGATTGTCACGCAGGCGCATGGACAATATGCCGGATGCTAAACTTTTGCGGTCCTTGTGCTAACATATTTATTCCCCATACGTCAAGATCCTTCGTATCGCGAAGAGATAAAGCACGAAAGCTTTCTCAAGTGGCTGTCCGAAAGCACTCGCTTAGAGACGCGAATGCATTCTCTAATGTGCAAAGCATTTTAAGTGAAACATTAAAAACTAGACGTGTTTCAAATCGGTACGTTAGAACGTTTGCTTTAGAACATCATTTCTTGTTCGGTCTACAAGCGCTCGGGTGATTATATAGATGTATCCATTCAAACATCGCATGCTTCGAACACTGCATGTTTAAATGTCTGTTTCAGGTTAAGAAAAGCAGGACAAGCACCTCTCGCAAAGCTCTCTACTCGTTATGATTGGTGGTTTTTTTCTCTCCATTCACCTCCTCTCCAGCGTTTACTTTAAAGGCCGGCGACCAGACTCGAGATTCTGCAAGGCGGAAGATCCTCCTCACCATGGGGGAGGAGGAAGCAGGCAACGGTGGACAGGGTAGAATGGGAGAGAGGAGGAGGGGAAAGTGGAAAGTGCGAACTGGAGCTCTTTGTGAGTGGAGCTCGTCCCGCCTTTCTTGACCTGCGAAAAGGCCATTGTCGATTCCAGCGAGATCGACGGCACCTAGCGGCTGGAACGGAAAGCTGTGGAAGTAGGTTCGCTCTGCAGTCTTCTCGAGCGAATCAGATTTGCACAGCGCCTGGAGGTCAAAGGACGCGAAGGCGAGAAAGTAGGTTCGAAAATTCGTAAAACGATCGAGTCCTGCGGCGAACATGTGAATTGAAATTACTTTTAGCGATGAACATAGTTTTTAGATGAACGCGGAGAATGGTCGAAATTCGAATGACGGATGCTCGGTTGTTCTGTCGCAGGTTTGCGAGGACCTGAGCCGGGTACCGCGCGCCGACGACTTGGACAGGCGGAGCTTGCTCGAGAGCTACGTGGAGAACCTAGTCCCCGTCCTGGTCACGGAGACCCTGAGGGGCTGGCCCGTGCTCGAGAAGTCCTTTACTCTGAGCAACATCACGCAGGTTGGTCAACATACGGACAGCAAGTCGAACAAAACGCGTCCCTTCACGTAGAATACTGGAGGTGTGCAACATGTTGTCTGAAAAAAAGCCTGTGGGCTCGCTTTCCTGCAGAACACGGACACAGCCAATCACGGCGAACAATGGAAGGATCCCAGGGAATGACGAAGCTCACAATACTCGTACGATTGGATCCGAAAATTTTGATATAAACAGGGACAACGAGCACATGATGCATCGTGCTCAGAGTCCACGCGAACATCGCGATTTCCAGATGTAATCGTATATTGTGCTTCATCATTCGCTCAGATCCTTCTGTTATTCGCCTTGATTGGCTGTCTCTGCGTGCTGCAGGAAAGACAACTCACATACTTTCTTTTTAACGTGCATGTAAGTAGTCTCTGTGCATGAGAGGAGGACATGCCCTTTCAATTGTATAATTTAAGCATAAATTACAATAGAAAGTTGTCCCAGGGTCCAAAGGTACGTGCTTGCGTTCGTGCCCCCCCCCCCCCCCCCCCCCCCCCCAATGTTGCGTCGAACTGTCGCGATGCTCATTGTTTATTGTATACTCACAAAATTGTCTCTTTACGGCTTTCCCTCTGTTGGCAGGGGTATCTAGAAGACAGAGCGCTCCAAGACGCGGCCATCTGCAACTTCCGAAGCAACCTGCGCCAGTGGGGATTCGACAGCTTCCTCCGCAGGTACAGCGGCCTGAGCGGCTGGTTTGCCCACTGGTACGTATGAGGGCGCCTAGACTTGAGAGCGTTTCCAACTGCTCGGGTAGGGATCACGTGCACGTTCATGGGCCGTCTTTGCGATACAAGCTTCGAGGCAAGCTTCGCAGTAGCACGGCCACTCGATCCCCCCTGTTGGTGCGGCCTGCCGATGTTTTCCCTAAAACAAAAGAGCACGCGTGAGAGGAGAACTTCTCCCATTTTCCGTGGGGGCGCTACACATCGGTGAGCGGTACAAGTATACCGCCAACCATTGTTGTGGAAGCGCGCGAGACACGTGTCATGAGCGGGTGCTCCGCCGCCATTCGCTTCCAAGGCCCGCTCATTTCAGTGCTGCGCCGCCATTTGCTTCCAAGGGCCGCTCGAGACATGGGCCTCGTGCACTCGCGCATTTGACGCTACTTGCAAGACAAACGCAAACACATCGAGGGGCTTTAGTGAGCGGTCTTGTGAGCTGAAAGCTATACTGTTTCACCTTATGTTTTACCGCAGGAAAGGCTGTAAGCGCGAGTTCATTGCTCTGGGGCAGATCTCGGTGGCACAAGCTCTCGTGCAGTAAGGGCAGCTGTCAACGCTATGAGCTCGCGGTTCCAGCCTTCGCTGCGGTACAACATAAGGTGAAACGGAGTATAGAGAAGGCGCCCAACGCGCTCTTGCTCCGCTACCCAGATAAAACATCTGCCTGTCATTTGCTTCGCCGATACCGAGGCGCTGCCGCGGTTGCTGAAGGCAGCAAAACTCGCTTTCCCCCCACACATGCACCGCTGTGCTCAGCGAAAATATCGTGGTGTCACTCTGCGCTCGCGTGTGTGGTTTGTGTTGGCATTTTGGAAGCTGCCGGAAATGTAAATGCGCGTTATAGTTTTGAGTGCCAGACGGCGATGAAATGTGCCAACTCCACTTGTGAAACAGGAAATCCTGCAGTTGATGAAGTACAATGAAGTCTCTTCCGAACTTGAGTTCGCACCGCTGACTTACATGGCTGGCTACCTGGCCCTCGATTGCGAACAAAAGGTGACCATTTTTTTATTTGTAGAACTTGTCGTAATTTCAAAGTAATTAGCTGAAACATTCAACCTAGCAAAGCAATAAGGATTTCTCAGTGAAAGCAAGGAAGACTAATGTGTAGAACCCGCTAAACTTTGCAGGTGACGTGTCCTGAATGCAAGCGCAACTTAAGGGAAATGCATCACATGACGGAGCATATCAGTCCATGTTTAGCCTTGACCAAGGAGGACTCAGCTATCCACGATCTGAAGCAGGCACGTAGCCAAGGGGGCGGCCCCTGGGGCCCGGAACCTCCCCCTCCCCCAAAAAAAGAAAAAAAAAAAAAAACTTCGATTTTGCTGGGACCTCCTATCATCCCCTCCCCCTCATACAGCATTTTGTCATGGGCGGCTGCTCCCCCCCCCCCCCCCCCCCCCCCGAAACAAAATCCTGGCTACGTGCCTGACCTGAAGCTGTCTGGCTGTGCAAGCTCGTCTGCACCTTTGTCGAGAGGGCTCTACAGTCGGCAGGGATTCGTGGGTGGAAGGATTTGCAAGGTCCTCTCGAGCGCTGTGCTTCCACACCTTATGGACTGTCCGCTGATGTGGTGTGTTAACTGCCGAGACCCCAACCACAGCGAAGAGCCCTGCGAGCTCTTTCTCAAAAAACTCCACAGACCTTTTTTGGCAAACTGGGCTGGTGACCTAAACAGTCCATTAGAGAATATATTGAGGCTTTCGCGGAAGCTTCTTTCCCGAAAGGTACTCCGCTTGTGAACTATATGACTTCCTTGGTCTGTTTTTTGTGAACAATGAAGTTTATATGGCTGAAGTTATGCTCGCGGATTCTGATTTTATATTGTCCTTCACAGATGAATAAATGGCACAGCTCGCGCGTGCTCGAGCGTCGGTTAAAACCGGAAATCATACGGCCTAGCTATATCCAACTATAACTCCTAGATTACAGTGGTAATAGAAACGGGGCAACAGTTACGGGAACAAGAAAACGACAATTCGCTCATACTGCCAGCAGAATGCAGCTTTAACGCGCAGCCTGCAGCTGAGTGAGCTTTTCGCAGAAAGAATCATGTGCTTTTATTCTACACAGATTTGTCACATCATTCATGCAATCTGGCACTCGTTTCAATTGAGACTAGCGGCTTCACGAAAAAAAAAAAAATCTAAATAGCCACACCGGGCCGGGCCGGGCGTACTGCTCCTATCTCACTATATTTCGTCTTACCTTAGGATGGACTAACCGCGAACGCTGTACTAGCGCGAGCGGCTAGCCTTTACTGCCTTGACTGGAGCAGTCGCTGCACGAGCGCTCATGCAGCCGCTGAGGCTTCCTTCGAAGCAGCTAACTCGCGCTTTTAGCACGCGCGGCTAACAAGTCCATAGTAACGAGAAACGAAGTATAGAGTTCCTCGATATGCTCCCCCGAAAGGAACTCTATCTCTCACCGATAACGAGCGCCACAGCTGGCGCCTGCGGGGTAAAGTAGAACTATCGCTCTCACCGGCGGAGTGAGACATACGGCAGGCCGCTCCCAAGGGGAGTCCTAATCGAGTGGCCGTGGCAGTAGCAGTAGCCTCTCCACCCACCATCCTCCTTGCCACGCAACAGCGCACGGATGCGCACGTGCACCTAATCTGCACGTGCACCTAATCTGCACCACCATAAAATGACAAACGCTCTACATGGTTTGAGTTGCACCCCCCGAAGCTCAACAACGCCCCTACTATGTTGTATTTTACTTATATGTAATGAAGCGCACTGGTGTTTCTGTATGCACACGCTTTCGCGCAGTGCCGTCGAAATGTTCGGGACGTAGGAAGATCGATACCAATGGGAGCAGAGGATCCCTAGCTGAATTGCTTGTCAATGAACTCTTCGTTTCATGCGAGAATTTAGAGATTAGATCAGTTAATTACGCCAACATGACAATATTGTGACCTGCGCGTTCTGCCCTGTCCTCGTTAGCTCCGAATACCTAATAATTAAAAAGATTCGTTCTTCTTTTTTTTTTCGTGACCTGCCATTTTGAATATATTCATTTCGTGCAGATTCATTTTCTTTCTAGGAAACATTTATTTCTCGCAGGTATAATTACAACACTCTAACTTCGAGGCTTCGAATCGAGGCACTCCTTCTCGAGACGTCGTTATACAGATGCCTTGTTCTTGCAATACACATTACCGATTATGGGCCCTAATAATGTTTCTATATAATAAAAAGTTGTTTTCTTTGATTCTCGTCCATAGCTATGGCTAATTAAAACACACACCTGCCAGTTAAAGCTCGTTTCGACGAAAGTGCATTTATACGCGATTCTCTCCCTTAGGCGTTTTCCTTCCTTCAACGGCAGCAGATGGCCGCACTTGTTACGTCACTGCGGTGATGTAAACCCCTTCCCCCTATTGTTCAACATAAATGTCTGAAATGTCCGGGAAGGGGGGGGGGGGGGGGGGGGGGGCGGTCCCACACCTTTGGTTCCACACCGCCACTGAAAACGCTCTTCCTGAGTATTACGTCCTCCTTTCACCCGACCTATATGCCAAACGTGATGAATAGCGGCATAGACAGACCTTTAGTTGTGTGCACTCTTAAAGTTTCCCGTGCGTTTGTTCTTCCCAGTAATACACATCGACGGCGATAACCCCCGAACACGAGCTTGTCAAACACCACCCGCGCGTCTTTCATTTAAAAGGTTAAAAGCGCAAAACAACAAGGATGAAGAAGAAAACACACACGACCCAGACAAGCGCTCTTGCAACTGATATGTTATCCCAGTCAGTCAAACCAGCGCACATGCATGAGCGAACAAAGTTGCCACTGGTGCCTCCGCTTCAAATTAAGAACTACAAATTACACGATTCTATACAGGTGTCCAAATCCTAAGAGGTTAATTAAAGCAGCAGAGTGGAACGGTAGCACACAATTTTCATTCATACGGCCAGTTTCCTGGCTAAAAACAACTTGTGCAAAAGCGAAAGAAAAAAAAAAAAGTCATCCCTTCTGTTTGTATGTTTAAACATCTGTAAGTTAGTCGTTCTCGTGTATCGTCAGCGCCTGTCATAACTATGCACGCGCACTCTTACTATTTTCAAAAAGGTTAGAAAAATACGTCACGACAGGTGTCAGTGCGGGGGAATACACCTGGCAAGCTTGCCACGCACGCGCTGCCCACACAAGCAATGCACGCTTGGCGGCCCAAATATCCTGGTATGACGTCACGACTGGTCGGAGGTTTTTCGCGTTTTCTCGCGTTTAATTACATCTTCGAGGAAAACGAACGTGATATTCAGATTCACGGGATAAAAATACGCCAAAATTCAACTCTAACTCGTTTTCTCTTTTTTTTTTTTTTTTTTTAATAAATGTTTCAGCTTTTCTTTAACGTGCATCACACGGTATAGTGATACACGACTTCGCGCAGGTACGATGTTCATCCAGATCGAAACGGGCTTGGGGGGGGGGGGGGGGGGGGGGGGGGGGGGGGATTGAGCATCCCTGGGCATCCTAGGGTTCTGCAGCGCGAGCTTTCGATCCACCTGCTCCCAGGTGTGGTGAGCTAATACACCATCCCAAATTTAGAATTCCTCAGCCAAGTATTCGCATATAAGTACATCGCTTCGGAAACCGAGCAAATCACGCGCATTACGCACGCACACTGAAAAATAGAACCGGCCAGGCGCGACAGCTGAGCGTGTGCTCATAACAAGCTTCCACAGTTTTTACAGCGAAGCTGCTATGTGCTATTAGCGATGTGCACGACCATAAGCGTCGCTGCGGTCAGCTTTCCACGATTGGCCAGACCAGGGGCATATGAGCATTGTCAGATTGTCAACTTTGACGGTGTTAGTTTCTGATTGCGATGGCTCCTAGCTTCCACTGTGCTTTTTAAGCACACCACCGAACTTGTCGTCGCACTTGATGAAGTAGCAAGGATAACAACTGGTGACATCACGGCGAGGCAAATACCAGTCGTGACGTCACGGATGGAAACCACAAGAGGGCGCCGCCGAAACATCTCGGCGCTAATACTTTTTTTCAACTTAAGTCCGAGCGTGGCCGACGTTATGAGCCGAAGGGCTAATCTAACGGCAAAAAAGGCACACCGTCATGGCGTGTTCTCCGCAGTTGATATTCAACTTGATAGGACCAGCGGTGTTCGCCGGCTTTCAGTGCATGCTCCTCCGCCGGTTCGTCCAACCGAGAGTGGAGAACGCCTTGACGTTGTGTTTTTTGCGCTCTTTGATTGGACCTTCGACTCATCACAACCTAAGCTGACACCAAGTATAGGATCTGGAAAAACAAATGCGTCCATGAATGGTTAACGAAAAACTCCCGTTTAAACGGCGCTCCTTCGTTCCCGTTGGTCGTGGCAAGTATAAATAAAGAGAGGGGGAAACCAGCGTGAGTCAGCCTTCATTGGCAGTATTAGATAGTGAGGTCCTGATCCCTTGTTCTCATCTACGTTAACCGACTTCTCTCAGCTAAAAGTGAGCTGTGACGAGGCTGAGGGCAGAACGCGCCGATATAACCTTCTTTTCTTTCGCTCCTGCGATGAAGATGAAAAAACTTAGGCTCAATTGAAAAAAAAAAAAAAAAGAAGAAAACTGTCCCCGAGCTGTGCCTCGAAAAATGGGATTCAAAACTTGCCCAAAAGTGACCATAAGGCAATGATTACTTTAGTCACTAAGAATTAAATAAAGCCAATTAAACAACGAAGTCGTCCACGTACCTTCACTGCAATCATATGTAAATCGTATAGAAGTCGTATAGTCGTATAGAAGTCGTATAGACGAACGAACATTTGTTTTTGCGTCGCGAGATATTTTGCAACCAGAAAACTGACGGTAGCATTTTAAAGTTATCGTGCTGCAAATTTTCTGAACGAGCTGGCGTGCCGCCCTGCTGCTTCGACGGTTGCCTCGTGCCGTGAACGCACCACGTCCGCAGGGAGAACTGCGACCACGTGGGGCAGAAGCACCTGCGCCAGTTCTACCGACGTCCGGAGTTCCTGCCGCTGGCCGTCGAGCTGACACGAGCCAACTGGGTGATCGCCTCCAGCGGCTTCGCAGGGAGGCGCTTCAAGCCGGTGCGTATATCCTGAACCTGCCGGGGGGACACAGGCAGGCACAATGGCTGGAAGGATGAATGAATGTGCATAAACAAGAAAGGCTGCACGGAGACCTCGGAGAGAAAGAGAGCGAGAAGGAGAATAAACGATGTTCAGGACAGTTTACATGCCTGCAGACAAAATATCAAAACCCAAATAAAAAAATTAAAAAAAAAATTGAACAAGAGGTGCAGTTGAGGATATGTACGGTGTGTATTTTCCGGTTTTAACCGAAAAACACCGATAAACATCCGTCGGTGACAACAATATAAAACGGGTAAAACCGAAAAACACCGGTGGTCGGATATTTTCGCCCTGGTTAAAACCGAAAAGCACCGGTCGTTGCATGTTTCCGACCTAGCAAAACCCTTTCCCCGTAGAGGTTCGTCAAACGTGTTATCTCGTGGATCCTGCATTCTTCCAGTGTTTATACATGGCTTGCACGTGGCGTCAGTCCGCCCTCTTTTCTGGCGGTCAAAAGCGTCTAGTGAACGCATTGGAAGCTAAGCTCTCACACGCTTTTCCCCTATTGTGTCTACCATGGCCCCCTTTTGTGGAAAAGTTAACGCAGTGGAGGGTAGGCTCTCACGTGCCCTTTCCTTATTCTGTCTGGTCAAGTGATGTCGGTGCAAGCCATGTATTCAGGGGTTGCCGTGGTTCCTGGAAGACACTGCCAACGTCCGTGTCGTACAGAAGCGTGCGTTTTCATAATTGCGGGTTGTGAACCGAAAGGAACGTGCTGCCATGACGGAAGCAAGCCTCTCGAAGTAGGCTTGCATCTACTATAATAACCAAGTGTGAAAATAGATGCTCCTTAGAGAAGTGTATGAAATATGTGAATAAAATTGGAACTCTCTGTCTGTGATCCATCGCATTTTTTTCCACCGATAATCACCGATTTTAGCCTAGTCCTGAGACGTTCCACCGAAATACACCAGTGCTTTGAAAATAAATAAACACCGAAAAACATCCGCCGATTTTTCTCACAAATAAACACCGGAAAGTACACACCCTAGGGATATGTGACTGTCATACGAATATGAGGTTACTTGAGCGTGGTAAACACTATTTTGACTGCCATTTCGCATATTTCTGCGGTTGTTTTTGTGTGCGCGCGAAAAGATTTCTTTTTTCCTTTTTGTTATGAACTGCCTCGGTAGGCCAAGATGGTTGACCATTCGAGTCCTTGCATGTGCTAGGTAGACGCACTTGCATGCACTTTTAGGAGTCTACCAAAGCATCTGAACTTAACGGTTTCTTATTTAGAATTAACCTCCAGATAATTTTCCACGATTTTAAATAAGAATGCGACGTTCCTTTTTGGCACCCGTACACATCCGGCCGCTTAGGGGAACACGCAAGCTCCCTCCATTGTCCGCATTCTGCTAACTGAAGTGAAGTCTTCTTCAAAAATAGATTCCGAATTTTGAATATAATAGTGTCCAGATTGTTTTTTTTTTTTTTTTTCCAAAGGATTTCTGTAATCATTCACAACCTAAGAAGTAGGAGGCATACAACCTATTACGTTCACACCTCCTGCTTTCTCATTCGCTCTTCGGCGATGCCTGTTTATGCTACGCGAGAAACACAGTTCGCTTTCAAAGTCAACACCTTTTACCCACAAATACAAAATGTAAAAAAAAAAAAAAAAAAACTCACCGCAAAAAAAAAAAAAAAAAAAAAAAAAAAATTGATATTGCGAAATTTCCGCGTCGCAACGAAAAGAAGTCTTGTGTCATTTTGGTCCTGGGCCTATTTAGGAAAATTATTAAAGCCCGGGATAATTAAATTGTTAATTATTTTTGCGTAATTAACTTTTTTAATATTTGGTTTAAGGGCATGGTTTCAATTAGAAAATTGCTCAGCATCATTGAAAAAAACTAAATCAACAAATGGCAGAACGATATAAGGCACGCGAAGCATTTTACGCCTTTCTGAAAAGCCGCACTTCGACGGGTTTTTAAGTTTCGGTTCGCAATCGGAGCTCTTCTCGGCCCCGGCGGCACCGCACCCCTCTGCTGCGCTGTCATCGCGCGACGCAGCAGAGGCTGGTTGCACTATTTCTCCACGGGGCGTGGTGCCGCCGAGGCCGAGGAGCGCTCCGATTGCAAACCGAAACTTAAAAACCCGTCGAGGAAGAGCGGCTTTTCACAAAGGCGTAAAATGCTTCGCGTGCCTTCTATCATTTTGCAATTTATTGATTTAGTGTTTTTCGATGATGCTGAGCAATTTTCTAATTGAAACCATGCCCTTAAACGCAACATTAAAAAAGTTGGTTACGCAAAAATAATTAATTACGCAAAAATAATTAACAACCTAATTCTTCACCCAAATGCAGCTGATACCCAAATGTACCACTACAGGTCTGAATCGGATGCCCAAGTTTCAGAATTAACCACGTTGTCTTTCAGAACTCATAATCGGTTTTCTGAAATTTTCAATGGGAAAATGGCGGTCGACGGAGCTCCGAGCACACATGGAGCTGAATGGCGCCAGTTACTAGCGGGCGGAAACAAACCCCTTTCAAGTTGACGATTGAAATTTTCAGGAAATCACTTATAATGTTTTATTGATATAACAGTTAGTTTTAGCGCTAACGCTACATTGGCGTGGATAATATTGAACGTTCGGCGATGCGTAGCTTATTTTCGAGGAAAAAAAACACCGCATACTTTTATTTTTTTTTTTATACATGCTGTTCATTTATGTGGTCAACGAGAGAAGGTGGTTATTTGGACCATTTGGTTTTAAGTCCCTCTAAGTCACTGACTTTTTAAGTCTATGATCTTTTAAGTCACTAGACACTAGGGCCTCTAAACTCGTCAAACACAAAGCTGGGGCCGAAGTTGACGGAGCGCACCGATTGGCCTATCACGACGATGACGTCGCGCTTTTTTCGCCGACCTCCAATCGACGCGCTCCGCGAACTTTCGGCTCCAACTTTGTGTTTGACGAGTTTAGGGTTCTAAGTCACCAAGACCTTTTCAAGTCGAGCTAAAGAACTACATGGCATGGCTAATGTTCCCGCTTCGTGATTCGTGATTGGATCTTCGGCGTGTAATGCCGTACTCGCATTGGTTGCGGAGCAATCGTAAGAGGACACCTATCACGTTTCTCAAGCTGTCAGTGGGCCACAACTTATGGGTGTACGTGCTGTCTTGGTGCGTGCGTGTGCTATAATTACAATTCGCATGGTGGACTCCCTCATCTGAATTCATGACCCTGATCCTTATTGAGGTGCGTGCAAGGGGCCAACGCGGTGTTTACAAACAAGCTGGCGTTTGCCCCCACCAGGTGTCGTCGGCATCAGGGACGAAGCCACGAACTTTTTTCAAGGGGGGGGGGGGGGGGGGGGGTACTTGGGTATGTCCATCACTTGGGGCAGTGTTGTCGGTAACGCGTTACAAGTAACGGCGTTACCGGTAACGCGTTTAAGAAACATAAGGTTTCTTAAAATAAGGCGCTTACGCATATCAGTACCGTCAAAAGAGGAAAACGTGTTAATTTAGAATAATAAAAAAAAAGTCAGACAAAGTAACCTGCGTTACTTTTTATCGGTAACGGTAACGCGTTCCTTTTATTTTGAAGCAACGAGTGACGTGTTTCGTTACCTTTTCCCGTTAAAGACCGATGACCAGTTCGCGCTTTCCATTTTTCCCCCGCTCCCTCCTCTCCCTTTTCTACCCAATCCACTGTTGCCTGTTTCCTCCTCTCCCATGATGATGAGGACCTTCTGCCTTAAAGAATCTCGATTCTGGTCGTCGAGCTTTAACGCCTACACTCTAAAAAAAAGAGCTGGTGCGTCTACTTTCTCGCACAATACTCGGAGAGCCAATCACCAGCCGCAACTCACGGAGGCAGCTCAGCGAATGAGGATGCCGAAACATATGTTTAGACCAAAAAGCAAAGCATGCGTGACGTTTTTGCGTTGGCCCGGGGGGGGGGGGGGGGGGGGGGGTTCAAAATGCATGTGTATTATATATTATAATTATAATCTATTATATAAATAATTACAAAACCGAGCGTGTTGGTAAGGTTCATTTTTACGCACGATAGGACGCAAATAGGACGCAACACAAAACACAACGTCTTTCAACTAGCAAAAAACAATTATGAAACAAATCTGCCCCCCCCCCCCCCTTTCCCCCAAAGGCTTAAACAAATCTTGGAAGGAAAGAGATAAAGATGTTGAAGGAAAGGAAAATGTCAGACGGGAAAAAGAGATAAAACTGAAATTCAGGAATTTTTTATTAAAAAAAAAAATTATTTCAAGTTTGAAAACACTGTGGGACGTCGGTCTGTGAGTATTCTGGAAAGTTCAAGCCTAAAGAGCCCCTTACAAGAAAAAAACAAGTTTTTTTTTTTTTAACATTTTGTTTTGGACACGCGTGTCAAAAAAAAAAAAAAAAAATTAATTTTACGCAAAAAAAAAAAAACACTTTTTTTTAAGGCAATATTGACGGCGCGAGACGCGATTTAGTTGGCAGTCACCTCCTTTCCTCTTGTTTTCTATATCGGCATTTCGGGCACGTGGAGGAGAGGTGGATCGGCTTCGCTTTCACGACCGAGATGGTCATTCTGGAATGACCCGTGACGTCATGAACTTCGCGCGCAGAATTTCAAATAAATCTCTCGCCGTCACTATTGCTCTAATTTTTTTTTTTCGCGTAAAATTCATTTCTTGACACGCGTGTCCCAACCAAACTGTTTAAATTTTTTTTTTCTTTTTAGGGACTTTTTGAGTCTCCCTCCCCCTTTTTTTTTTTTTGCTTCTTCTGGCACCACCACTGGTGGGCACTAGTGCGCGTGCGCAGGAACCAGATTCCAATGCACATGCTCCAACAGCAGCGGCACCGCAGCGATGTAATTATAGAGCCGCGTGCGTGCTCTATAGACGACAATATAATGAACGCATCAGCTGCGCCTGCCCCCTCCGGAGCGTTTCTTGTGTTCAGGAGTTATTTTCAAGCGCAGCGGGCCTTAGTTTTGCGACTCCGGCTTCTTTTGCGCGCGTTTCTGAGCGTCACGACGACTCGCCCGACTTTCTCAGATCATCGCGTGTGTCGGGCCGCCTTCAAAAGAGATTCGTGCTCTTCGAGGGCAGCTGGTGCATTCAGAGGCCCCTTTCCAGCGAAAGATTCTTCACCGAGTCAAAACACGTTTCATCCGCGATTAAGACACGACAGCTGTTCTAAACTCCCCTTCCAGAAGAGGGCGTTGTTTATCATAAGGAAAGATGAATTGGATTTACCGTAGAGAACGCTACGAGCCGTGTGAGCGTCACATGACCTTGGAAAGGGGAGCTGCGACGCCGCCGGCGCGCGTAATCACGTGATATGTGTACACAAAGCACTGGATTAGCTGGAAGCAGTTTCGTGTCTGGGAAGCCGATACTGACCGCCTAATTCAGAAACCTCACCCAAACTACACTCAAACTGAAGGGCCCCTCCACTACCTCGAGGAAGGCCCGAGGGCCGGCGCTGGTCAATCGCGACGGCGGATCCGTCCTCGCGATTGGCCAGCGCCGGCCCTTGAGCCTTCCTCGAGGAAGTGGAGGGGCTCTTCAGTTTGAGTGTAGTCTGAGTGAGGTTTCTGAATTCGGCGGTGAGACCCGCTAAGGGAAACAGGCAGTATCAATAAATAAAATAAAAAATAACTTAATGCTTCATTACGCTAGCACGTGAGGCGAGGAAGGGATGATAAAAAAAAATCTGTTTATGAGTTGAGAAAATAAAAAAAGGTACTCTAACAAAATTATAGGCAGCAACACTTACACGAAGGCTGTGCTTTCCACAGGGACTCAACGTTCTCTGCACTGTGTCCCTATGATATTAGTAACCAACGAGGAAACAGAAACGGCTTTTACTTTTCCAAATACTGTATTTAGTTGCCTCTGTTTTGTTCTGCCTATGAATAAATCACAAGCCAGATTAAACGTCGTGAGCACAAGGTGTCACGTGTGCTATTGGTCAGAACAGACGGGGCGTCGTTACTCTATATATACTGCGACGAGTGGACGTAAATAAATGTGTAGCTTTGTTGTTTTTAAATATAACCACAAAGAGCTTTTTTTTTTTTTTTTTTTCTAGGTGCGCAAATTATTTGATTACGCACAGTTGCGTTGGAGAGCGTTTGAGTGTGTTTGACAGCGTTGCAGCTGCGAGAAACCAGGACATCCCTGTTTCTTATGTCGCGTGCCAAGCTTTTCCTTGAATTGGATTCTACGCTTCACAGATGTGCCGGTGACGTGAGTCGCTTTCGTTTCTCGCAGCCGCAACGCAGTCAAACGCGCTCGACCGCTCTCAAACGCAACTGTGCGTAGGGTCCTTGCCCGAGTTAAAGCAGTTGTGAAAGCCCCTCTGTCCTGGGAAAAGCGGCGCGACTCATTGCTGTGAAAATGCTCGAGACACGTGCTGCGCGATGGGAAGAACAAAGCGCCTGAAATCTTGCTTAGTGCTGCACTGTGCCGCCATAATCTTCCCAAGAGTTGCACGTTGCACAGGCCTTATGCATCGACGCACGTGTTGCTGTAGTGGGGCCCGAGTCCCACTATAGAGCCAAACAGAAACAAACGACAGCGACAAGCCTCAAACCAGAGTCTTTCGCGGTTTGACAGGCTTTGTAGAATAAAGGAAACTATGCTCAAACACGAGCATCACGCACGCTTGGGTATCGTTGGCACGCTCGCAATCACTCGTGGTTACTTCACGAGCACCGAACGACTAAACACCTGCCAAAGGTAGCATAGCGAGCATGCTGCTTGTGTTTGAGGCTTGTCGCTGTCGCTTGTTTCTGTTTGTCACTCAAGTGGGACTCGGGCATTAACACGAAACGAGCATGCTACGCGCTTCATAGCGCAGGTGAAGAAATATACAACGCGGAGGATCCCGAAGAAAATCAAGTGTGCTGCGAACACGACTGGCGCTCGGAATAAAAAAAGGCTCGGAAGTGTTCACCCTAAGAAATTCGGTGCGTTGACTTCCCCCCAAAGTACAAAGCTAAAAATGTGTTCAAACATTAAAAAGAAGAAAAATAATCAGCTTTTACTTTGGTGAAGAAGGAAAACCAGCAGAGCTACTATGGTGGGAATGAAGTAATGTCCGGCCGCAAGTCGGCAAGCCAGAGTGGAAAGGCTGGAAAGGTTGCGCCATCTATGAGCGACGGCGGTAGCTGTCCAGAGTTTCGTGTCATCATTCGTTTGCTGACAGACACGATACTGGGGAAACTAGCCCTTAACAGCTCCGCTCTAAAAACAGCTTGTTGGGATACATTGAGGATGACGTAAGCACTTAAAACGTAAATGCCGCAGCGCAGCCAGCTTTTTACATCTGAAGATGATTACAGTGCGGACAACTTCTAGGTCTAAACATTATTTGAGCCTCGTCCGCTAACACGCCTGAAGCATCTTCGAAGCATGTTCGCTTCTTACATGTGCATGATTCGAACACGTCTGCAGACAGTTTTCGTGTGTGACAAGTCCGTTATACACACACGCCTCCGACGGTGTGTGGACACCGCCTTTTGTATAGCGTGCAAGCAGTGCGACCACGGTCTTACAGTGTTCGAGGCTGTCTGTATCCCCACCGTCACGCGGTATCGCCCAACTTTTCCAGTCCACATAAACATACAGATTCGAACGCGAGTCGCCGCGAGATCCGTGCTTCGAATGCCGCATATGACAATGAGTTCAAGGAGGAAGCTTGGCACGCGGCATACGAACCACTGATATTGCGGTAACTCGATGTGCAGATTGTCTTGTGTATGATGTATACAAGCAGTGTGACCCCGACCTTAGGGAAACTTTGAGTGTTTTCTGGGGTTAAGCTCCGAACGGGCGTGAGCGATCTTTTGAGTTGCAGAAAGGACACGTGTCTCGTCTTGACGTCCAGTCGGATGGCTGCAGACACGGGAAGGAATACGACCGCCCTATTTTCGTGTCCTGGAGTTTCTTTGATACTGGTCAAAGAAACCAATATAAAGTGCTCGATGAGCATTTACAAGTTATTATTGAACTTAAAATGCTGGTGTTAACTATACGTCATGTGGCGCAGAAGTCGACTCAGTTCTGACTGATACATTTAGGTCAAGAGGACATTGTATACGTAGCAGCACGTGTGAGTGAACCACTGGAAGAATAATTGCCACGGCCCACGGGATTATCGCTCAAACTTTCTTGTGAACGAGCGTGCAGAGTGCATTATCGTGTCGAGATATCTTTGAGGTATACGGTCTGCGGCAACCTCCGCGTTAGACCCGTTAATGGGTTAAAGTCACCAATTGATTGATTAATAAATCCGAATTGTTGCGCACACACGGGTGGAAACACGAAACGCTCAAGCTCGATCACGTACTTCAGGGTTAGTTATATGTATATCATTCATCATCGTCCTTCCTTTTTGCAGCTGGACTTTGAGACCGGCAGCACGCTGGTCTGGCTGGCCCAGGTAAAGGGACACAACTATGTCAGACTGCTCCCCGAACCCGTCTGCGCCCAGCAGTGCCAGGATCTAGACCTGGTGCTCGAGACCAGAGACATTCGTGAGTTTAAACATAACGCTGCCATCTGAAAGCGCTTATACAAAACTATACCGACGTCTCCTAAGTCGGTCGTCTGGAAACCCCACCGAGGGTATAGGATGCACACACGTGAAACGACGGCGTACACTAAAGCCGTTATAAGATATATTTTATCATTGTTTTAGAACATCAACCGTTTATAAACCCCAAAATACAATGCTGCATTGAGAGTCAAAAGCTAGTGTTTCACTTTAGGTTTCCAATATTTAGAGGTAATATCAACTTGTTTCGCACTGTCGCCATCTGATACATTCATATTTCAGGTTCATAACTGAGGAATTTTGTGCATGCGTTTATTGCGTGAGACCTAACCAAAAATAAGGCATTCAGAAGGCTCGCATTGACAACGTTAGTCACATTATGAACCTATATACGAAATCGACCGGGCCGTATCCAGGTTTCAACGCCTTTATTTTCTATACTAAAAGCGTGAAAGCACCAGTATGTTTTCTTGCTCAAAAGAAGGCTTTTCGCAGATACTACAGCATGGGGCAACACTGGCCAGATTCGTCCCAACAGACCGTATGCGACCCTACAGTAATTTTATAAAACAACAACAACAACAACCAAAGTCGGGGAAATGGCGATAGTTTCAAGTAAAGATCCCCCCAAATTCGATCGACATCGTTCAATAACAGAAAGAAATAGCTAAGTAAGAGGAAATGCACTTGCTAGACGTTCGATACACATTGTATTCAGTACAATTCTGCCGTACTTATTCGGGAGACAACAGACACGATGGCGCAACAGTTCGTTTCCATCACGCTTTTGAAACGCTCTGCGAACAACGTTCCCTCATCATTGTTTCGCGTTCTGTCTAGTGTCCCCGTAATAGATTATAGTGCGCACCGACTAGTTCGCTGTTTTATGTAAAGCCTAATATAAACGCATGTCAGCCAATAGTGCATTAATTAGAGGCCCTCTCCACGGAGACGCGACCTTCACATGAATCGATTCCCACTGCGCACGATTTATTGAGATGACACCGTTTCCGTATAGGATCTTACGCGGCGATACGCGTTCTCGAAAATACCCGCGCGTCCACTTTCCCGCAGATCACTCGGAGAACCAATAGGGAGTTTTCGTAAGTCGTTCCGATTATACGACAACGATTCAAGATGACAGAGAGGTTTAATATATAGATTGCTCTGATATCTATACGGTAGCGAAACGATGCGTGCGCAATGGCGTCGGCTGTATGTCGGGAAGCGTTATCGGAAACGGAGCGATCTAAATTTTCGTAGATCGTTCCGACGACTCCGATAACGATACACCCGATACCCCGCCACCGCCTTTGCGCATGCATCCTATCGTTATCGGGTATCGTTACCGGGAGGGTCGGAGGTACCGAAACGATTTACTAAAATTCTCTACGGAACAATCTACTGTCGGGAACACGTTCCGACCTAAAAATAAAGTCAGCGATGTGGCACTAAATGTTGTTACTCACATATTAGTTAACGCTTCAGGGTGGAGAATAAAAAAAAATGATATAAATCGTGATTCAAATCACGATTCAAATCTTGATTTTAATCAGACCAGTTTCACTATCATATGATTTAAATCCAAACGTCCCTGCAAAATAATCCCCGCAAAATATTTTTATTAATGTTTGTTTATTATGTGGTGCTTGTTATGTGACTTTTTATATATATATATTTAAGTCAGATAATTATCGAGCAAGAAATATGTATATAAATTCGAGCAAAAAGAACTGATCTTTTGAGCCATTGAACTTAGTTTCTGCCTTCCATTTCGTTCACTGAAGTCAGAACGCTACATAATTTGAAAGAAAAATTAAATATATAGTTTCCGAACTAGCTAAAAGAATGGGGCGACTACAGCAACGATGAAAGTTGCTCATTAAACTCTATCTTACATTTATAGTAATTCTTTCTTCCGCGTCGCTACCAGTGATCGGACGAATTGATCAGTTAATCTGCCATGTTGAAAAATACATCTAGTGGTAAAGATTCACCGATTTCTAGCACAGTCATGTAAGTGAAATGAATCTGATCTAAATAAAATAAATCTGATTTATACACAATAAATCTGATTTATACACAATAAATCTGATTTATACACAAAAAAATCTGATTTATATACAATAAGTCTAAATTACATTATTAAAAAATCGTTTTTCTATAAATAAACATTTCGTGCTTTGAATTTTTTCACTACTAAAGAGGCAAAATATTTATGATACGGCGAGTGCCGCAGATGCGAAACCCTTTAGTGTGTGCGTGTGTGTGTGTGTGTGTGTGCGCACACACACGCCAGCACGCACGCAAGCACGCACGCAAAACACAATTGGTCCTTCTCATGCATGTAGTTTCAATCGTTTGTTTTGTTTTCACGCAGTATTGCTGAACACGAAGCTGTGGAAGGTGGAATACCTCCCAGGGGAAGACACCGACAACCTGGCCTTTGCTGCCGGCGGTTTCATTCCCTTCTAATGGACACAGATAATCTGTTCGCCGGGCTTTGATCACAAGAATTCGCGAGGAGAGAGAGAGCGCTTGTTCTGCGCAGCGTCGCAATTGTGAGGACGGCACTGTCTGCCGCGGGCAAATAATTCTAAAATTAGAATCCGTTATGTCTGGACCGCCTGTTGTTGTAAAACGAATCCCGAATAAAACGACGTTGTACCTCGTGGCCCAAGTAGATTAAGCTTCAAATAAATCGTAGAAACCGGTTTGCCAAGTACCACTTGTTGTAGTAGTTTCCCAGCAGAACACTCCTTTTACATATCACACCTCCCGGCCCATTGCTTCAAAGTTACTTTACTTTACTTTACTTTACACACACACACACACACACGCACACGCACACGCACACACACACATTTTTTTTTTTATTGAAGTGAGACGAGTTAACCGGAGGTCACTCTGGGATGGCAAAATACGGAACAGATAGGCCAGCCAGAACAATTGTTTCCTGTTTTACCTCTTCCTTTTTTAATAATAATAGTAATAATAATTATTATAATCGCTTGGCCTCATGAAGCACAAATATATTTTAATTATGATAAAAAAACATTCAACTAAAATACCGTCAAAAGAAGAAAAAGAAAACGGATCAGTTAAATATTGTATTTTGTAATTTAGGGTGCCAATTGAGCGCAGCTAGAAACACGCCTTCAAAATATGCTGCGATTCTACTTTCGTACCAATGGAACGAAATATTACTAGAAGTTGAAAGTACGATGAACGTTTTAATAATGACGAAGTACAGAAATAGCAAATATATATGACGTGCGCTGTGACTCCCAGCACGTAAATTTATTTATTTTTTATTAATAATTACTGCAACCTCTGGTTGCAATCTTAGGACAATGGGTTACATTGGGGTGCTGGTGCTATCACAAGCGGGAACAATGCGAACCACATGATCGTTGTTGTTATCATCAATATTTGGCTCTCTCCCACATATACTGGAACGATTTCACCATTACTGGATTTGTCACCCAGCTGGACTGCATATTATCGGGGCTATTTAAACATGGTGGGCCATTCCTCATATCTGTACAACTCAGTCTGCCATTCAAATAGCTTTCGCCTTTTGTTGTAATATATATTGTCCGTCTCTGATAAGACACGGAAAAACCGCGCGGGCGCCTTATCGCAACCATTAGCAGCTTGTACCTGCTCCACGAGTGGTAACTTTAGCGCACTACAACGCTTCTCACGCGCTCAGTCTTTCTGAAAATGACTAATTTAGTGATTTTCAATGACGATCCTAAAAAGTTAATTAGTCATCTTTAATTAATTAACTGGCTAGTTGGTAAGTATCGCGCATTTTTTGACGCCCGCCAGCACGAGTAATGCCATCCCGTGAAAATGATTTTTTTGCGTCGAATACACTAACTTTAGGAATTCTTTTCAGTCTTCGCTGAAACACCCGATATATATATATATATATATATATATATATATATGGGTGATTTCATCTCAAATCGGGCAGGCTAAAAGGGTCTAGTTCTTAATTTTCACGAAAAAAATATATGTTTGGGGGGTATTTCTCAAACGAAGGAGGGCGCAAACCGCAAGTTCCCCAAATTTTTTGTTCTCGAGTTACGAAGCGTAGAAGCCCCCAAAACATTTATTTTTGTCGTGAAAATTAAAAATTAGACACTTTTAGCCTGCCCGATTTGAGATGAAATCACCCATATATATATATATATATATATATGGGCGGTTTCATCTGGATTCAGGCAACGAGGGGCAGTCGTAATTTTTATTTTGCTTCAAATTTTTATATTTCGTGGCGCATGTTCTAAGAAGAACAATCCTTTTTTATTTTATTGTCCTAACATGTATAGTTTCTGAGAAAAAAATCTCAAAAAAGTGGGAAAGAACAACGAGGTTTTGACGATTGTCGTGTGTGGCGTTTTTGAATCAATCTCAATCTCAAAGTATTCATAGGAGAGCATCTATATTTTTTTAGTGTGACATACATCCAAGTAGGTAAGACGTCATTATAACTACTATTTATTATTCGTCGCTCCAATTTTTGTAAAAATCCCCCAACACGCCTCTACGAACAACTGTTACCTAAATGGCGAAAATCTTTTTTTTCTTTTTTTTTTGTTTGAGTCGGATATGTTTAGTATCGTTTTTAAAATAATGCCACATGTAGAAACTTTCATTGCCTTCCACATTAAACAAAGTTTGTGTTTTTACCATGTACGAGTACTGACAAATAAATTATGAAACAGAGAGGGTTTTCACTTTTCACTCAACTTCAACACGCTGTACAAAAAAAAAAAAAAAAAAAAAAAAAAAAAATTTGCGTTACGTTTTTTTACACCCTGCTTTTAGCCAGAATACATTCCGTTAAAGGTATGTGCCTTGGTTTTGAGTTTTAAGCCTCTAAATATGCTAAAAAAGAGCAAATGCCGATGGTGGGTTTTGACGATTTTCGTGTGTGGCGTTTTTGAACCATGCACTCTCAATCTCAAAATATTCAAAAGAGTGCTTCTCTATTTTTTATTGTTATATACATGCAAGTCGGTAAAACGACATTCTAACTACTATTGATTATTCGTCGATCCAGTCTTTGTAAAAATTCTTAAACATGCCTCCGCGAACAACTGTCACCTAAACCGCGGATATTGTTTTAGTCGACTATGTTTAGTTTTGTTTTTAAAATAATATAACACGTGTATAACCTCTCATTGCCTTCCACATTATGCAAAGTTTGTTTCTTAATCACGTATGAGTACTGAGAAATAAATTATTAAGCAAAAAAGGTTTTCACATTTTGCTCAATTTCACGACGCTGTAAAAAAAAAAAAAAAAAAAAACACCAAACAACAACACAAAAATACCTTTCAATTTTTTATTTTTGTGCGTCGCGTTTTATTTTAGATTTTTCCTTTAGCCAGCATACATTCCGTTAGAGGTATATGCACTAGTTTTGAGTTTTAAGCCTCTAAATATGCTAAAAAAATGCTGATGGTGGGTTTATGGGTTATAGCTGTATATTTTATTCTTTATTATAATAATCTAAGGGACGTTGAATAAATACTCATACAAAAGACATTAATGTCGTTAGGCGTATAATAACAAGTTTGCAATTCTAAACGTCTAAACACTATAAAATCGCAACTGCCGAAAGCAGGTTTTCAGACAATTTCCACCGGTGCCATGATTGGAGAGGTTTCAAGCCTAAACCCCATGCGCTACATAATCTATCTATAAGTATAATATTGTAAAACATTAGAGCAGAATACACTTCCTATTGGAAACTTAGATTTTTAAATGCGAAATTTTATATTTTCAATGCGAAATTCATTTTGATAACAGAACGGAATAATTTTTAAGCATATTTACAGGCTTAATACTCAAAAGCAGTGCGCACAGTCAAACCCGTATATAACGAACAGCAGGAAACGCTGCGATCAGTTCGATATAGCAAAAATATTTACATCGAACTTCCGCGATGAGTTCGTTGTAAGGCGAAGAGCTTGTCTTTCCTTCTCATCTCTTCAGTTCCGCCTTGTAACACGGCCCTGGAAAGATTTCCTTTTTCTTTTCTTTTGCATGTTTGCAGAGTTTGTACGCTTTGGGATGAAAATATCTTTTTTGTTTTTCTGCGCGTGCGTGCAGAGTGTATTTTTTTAGCTTCTCCCATTCTGAATCGCAGATTCGCTCAATTTTGTTCGCAACTTGAACTTTTGGAATAATCTTTCTTGCGTACTTCTTTTTTTTGGGAAGGGACAGGCCAGAAGACGATTCTCTGCACGCTTTTGGAAGCCTTCCCGGGGGAAAAGGTTCGATATAGACAATATGTTGTTCGTTATAAAACGTACTTTTTACATGCATTTTTATTTAAATTTTCCGTGAGTTCGATATCGACAATAATTCGCTGTACGTGGGTTCGTTCTAAACGGGTTTTGTATACCTCTAACGGAACGTATTCTGGGTAAAAAAAGGGTGTGACGAAAACGCGACGTAAAAAAAAAAAAAAAGACTTAAAAATGTTTTTCTTTTTTAATACAGCGTGATGAAATTGAACGAAAAGTGAAAACCTACTCTGTGTCATAATTTATTTCTCAGCACTCGTACGAGATTAAGACACAAACTTTGCATAATGTGGAAGGCAAGGAAAAATTCTACTCGTGGTATTATTTTAAAAACAAAACTTAACATAGTCGACTAAACAAAAAAAAAAAAAAAAAAAAAAAACCGCAGTTTAGATCACACTTGTTCGTGGAGGCATGTTTGGGGAGTTTTACAAAGATTGGATCGACGAATAATAAATAGAAGTTATAATGCCGTTTTACCGACTCGCACATATATCACAATAGAAAAAATATAGAAGCTCTCTTTTGAGTACTTTGAGATTGAGAGTGGTTCAAAAACGCCACAAACGAAAATTGTCAAAACCCACCATCGGCATTTGCTCTTTTTAGCACATTTAGAGGCTTAAAACTCAAAACCAAGGCAAATACCTCTAACGGAATGTATTCTGGCTAAAAGAAGGGTGTAAAAAAAAACGCGACTCCAAAAAAAAAAAAAAATAATAATAATTTTTTATTTTTTTTTAATTTGTTTATACAGCGTGTTGAAATTGAACGAAAAGTGAAAACCCACTCTGTTTCATAATTTATTTTTCAGTACTCGTACAAGATAAAAACACAAACTTCGCTTAATTTGGAAGGCAATGAAAGTTTCTACACGTGGTAATATTTTAAGTGCAATAATAAACATGGCCGACTAAAAAAACAAAAAACCCGCAATATAGGTCATGTTGTTCGCGGAGGCAAGTTTGGGGACTTTTACAAAGATTGGAGCGACGAATATTAAATAGTGGTTATAATGTCGTCTTACCTATTTCCATATATATCACACTAAAAAAATACAGACGCCCTCTTTTGAATACTTTGAGATTGAGAGTGATTCAAAAACACCACACACGACAATCGTCAAAACCTCGTCGTTCTTTCCCGCTTCTTTGAGATTTGTTTTCTCAGAAACTAATTATCTCAGGACATTAAAATAAAAAGAATTGTTCTTCTTGGAACATGCACATGAAATATAAAAATTTGAAACAAAATAAAAAATACGACTGCCTCTCGTTGCCTGAATCCAAATGAAACCGCCTATATATACATACATATATATATATATATATATATATATATATATAAAAAGAGGGGGAGAGAGAAAAAGTTTTCTTTTTCTTCCAGGGACGCATTTATTTCCGGACCTTTCGAACGTGAAAGCAGGTACACTTTGGCGAAAAAACTTTCAGTTTACGGCTGAAGTTACGGAGGTCGGAATGTTGGAGTCACGCTTGGCCCCTTTCAGCCTTCCGGCTTGTCTCTCCGGGATATAAAGCACCTGAAACTACCAGTAAAAATGGAAACTGAGAAAAAAAACGAGCGTTTTTTACAAGAACACGTCGTAACAAAAGGCATCCGCATGCAGCTGGTCAGACCATAATGAGATAAAGAAACAGAAATAAATATAAATACAAATTTAAAATAAATGATTATCCTATCGATGCATATCCGCTTAAAAACGACATAATATAAATCCTAACCCAGTGCCCTTTAAATTTATGTTTTACCAGTGTTCTATCGACATAGTCCGTAATTCTGTTATCGCCTTGTATTTAGGTTTGTGGGATTAGACTGCAATGTTTCTAACGAGGTCGGTAATCTCTCTTGATCCTCTGTCCCGCAAATCCTACTGTCGACTCGCGCATGTAGCAAACGAGAAATAAATAAATTTAATTTGATTTAATGCTTTATTAGGTCTCTAAAACCCGGGTGACAGTGAAAAGGCTATTGCCCATGCCATAGAGGCTCACTGTACCCGCTACACACACAAACACACATACATACAAAAAGAAAGAAAGAAATGTTTTACATTGGGATTTGGGTCTGATTGAGTGTCACTGGTGTCACATCACAGTTCTTTGAGGTGGAGGGTTGCACATTTGCACAGTTCTTTTAAGTCCTCTTTGCTTTCGAACGTCCCTTGTGTGACGTAGCAAACGAGAAATAAATAAATTTAATTTGATTTAATGCTTTATTAGGTCTCTAAAACCCGGGTGACAGTGAAAAGGCTATTGCCCATGCCATAGAGGCTCACTGTACCCGCTACACACACAAACACACATACATACAAAAAGAAAGAAAGAAATGTTTTACATTGGGATTTGGGTCTGATTGAGTGTCACTGGTGTCACATCACAGTTCTTTGAGGTGGAGGGTTGCACATTTGCACAGTTCTTTTAAGTCCTCTTTGCTTTCGAACGTCCCTTGTGTGACGTCACTCGGGAGGGAGCGCCAGAGCTCGATGGTTCTCGGAAGGAGCGTGCTTCTGTGACGCTCCGTCCGACCAAGGAGGGGTTGTAACTTGTCGGCGCGGTTCTTCCTCACATACTCTAGAAGGGGTGTAGGAGGGCCACCCAGCGTGCAGGCTAGGAGGCGAAGCGAAGCCACCTGCCTACGGACAGACAGGCAGTTCCACCCCGACGCCGAATGATGAACGCCGAATGATGAGTACGCCTCCAGTCATTTGTTGCGCTCTTGGCACTCATACGGACGAAATTTGCCAGTTACTTCGACAAACTTTTGAACGCACGCAGAAAAGAAAGCAAAGGTCCGGGAAATTAAAGTAAACTAAGAAAGTATTTAATTTGGTGGACCATGGAAGGATAATTAATCCCGGTTCATGAACTACATAATGTCACAGCAACAAGCAGTTGGACGTAAGAGAAAAGAAAACGGTAGGAAGGGGCAAGCCATGGAGATCGGGAGAGGGATACCACAACTTTCTCTGTATTAATTTCATTAACTTATTTTGATCCCTTGTCCGATCGGGGAGCTTGGAATTACCGACGAGAATGGAAAAACGGGTGTCGAAAAGGCGGAAGTTACAACACTGAGGTTAGAAAGACGTATAGAAGGCCTAGATAAGTGCAAGCTTTAATACAAAATCAAGGGGTTACGGGAATTCACTAAAATTTACAAAACAATTTTTAAAGTGAAAATTATATAGGGTAGGTGGCGCAAGTTGCCGCCCCATACGCTAGCTTCCATTTATCTATTTTGACCAATAAGGTAGATCGTTGCTCCACCACTCCTCCACTCCTCTCCAGCGTCCACTCCGCTCTTTCTCCTTCCTTTACGTCCACCTGCTGCAACCACAGTGGCTGCAACCTGCTGCTGATGTGATTATCTTCCACTAACGCCTGCTCAAGCGCAGCATTTGGCAGATTTGCTTGATGCACGAGAGCTCACGACTTCCGACGCCGTAGACTGCTAGCACCCGCTCCGTTTATGGCATCCGGATCTTGAAAAGTAAGTCCGTTCTTTCCTTTCCGTTCAAACATATGCCGTGTAAACAAGTTCTCATCTTGCGAGCGCCGAGTGCAGTTTTCATTGGCCGAGTTCATAGACACTTGATCGCGGTGCACGCACAAATTCGGTTCGCGTACATGTGTTCATAACTTGCTGATTTCAAAGTGCAGCTGACGCTCACATTAGAACGTACGTGATCGAAATTCTCTCTTGGGTCGGATGTGCACGCTTGCCCCGTAAGCTTCAGATGTGTTGTTGATCGTTTCACTTGGGCAGTTCAGCAGTTGGGTGTTGTCTGTTGATTTGCGGCTGTACTTCCTCAGGATGACGTAGGTATACTACATCGGCGGCGCTCGGGATCAGACTCGACGTTAAACGCCACGTAACGACGTCGTTTAGATGTGAACTTTTCGAGAATACGCTTTCGATTAGGAAAGGTGAGAAGTGATGTGGAGCTTGGTGATCCTAGTTCGTGGTGCGGTCGAGATTTCTGATGTTTCTGCGAGCTGTTTGCTCGGTTCCGCTCTACCTTCCTTTTTTTTTTTTTTTTAATTGTCTTTTTTTTTTTTGTTGTGAATTTTATTTGCATTTTGTCGTCAATCCCGTTTGAGTAAAAAAGACAACCAACACAATTCTGTTCGACTTCACTCTTTATTTTAATAATCATAATAATCTGAGTGCTTCTAGTTTGTTCGGCAACCGAGCCTGCGTCATGACATTTTTATGATTTTTTTTTTTTTTGAGGTAGGTTTTGGGTTGTGTAAGAGGCTAAGAAAAGAGTGGCCATTCAACATTTTGTGTAGCTTACAGTTGTAACCCTGCCTTTCTCGGCGATTCATAAAGGCAGTTCCCAGACATTTCATCGAATGCCGTTTTATCGAACATAGTTTCATTGAACACAATTTCATTGAAAAAGTGGACGTTTTCAATACATCAAATCTTTTAATCCCTATGTTATAGTTTGGCGCATTACTAAACACGTACAGGTGCCTCCCCTCATGCAGGTATTTTGCAATGTGATGAAAACTCATGTTTTGTTGATAATTCCTTTTTTGTGTTTTGAAAGTAGATGTGCACTGTCTCCTGTTGAGAGCGCGTGTCTTTGACATAGGTCAGCAGTGGGCCCAAGTTGTTGCCTTCTCAACAGTATACTACCTTGAAGAAAAATTAATTGGGTGGGCAAGCTTGTTGCCATTCATGGCAGAAAGCTTGACACTGTAGAAAACAAAGAAGTATTCTGAACTTTTTTTGTAGCTTTGGGATCTAAACCTTTGTCAACTTGGAAACCAGACAAAACATGGTCAATTTCCCAAAGACAGAGTGATGCAGGGCGTAGACAATTGTATAGACCATGCGCTCGAGAACCAGAAAGGATGTAGGCGGCAAATTAGAAACCAGAAGAACATTGCACTTTGCAACGAGGAGGGTGGGAAAAATGTCACACATGATCATTGTTATATACCGTAAAATACCGAGCAGGCGCCCGCTCTAAATTTGAAGATATTCACAAAAAAAATAGGGGATGGGTGCATGTGAGGTCATCAATTTTACATATATATGTGCTGTGCATATTTTTTCAGATGTTTCAAATTTTGGGGGTGGGCACTAAGTGTGGAATGGGCGGATGCATGGTATTTTATAGTAGGTGAAGTTGCGGCTTTGTTCTGTGTCTGTCAAGCATTTGTCGTTATTTACTAAAACACAATAAAGCATACTTCCTTATTTCTGGGTTTCAGACAATCAAAATAAAGATAGGTAATTTCAGTTGTGCAAGCTATTTTATTTCGAGTAAACCATTGTATGAAATGGCATCCAAGGGAACTGTTTCAATGAAATAATGTTTATTGTAATGGCATTTAATGACCGTTCAATGACCATTTGATGAAATCTTTGGTCCCACATAAGACATGCAGGGTGTGCACAAAAAAAATGTGCAGGATTTTTTATTTTTATTTTATGAAGAAAAATTTAGCTTTTCACAAAGCTGAATTTCCACCTGTGGTGATGATTGCATGGGCTTTTCTTTTTTTCTATGTGCAGGTTCCCTTTCTCTGTTCATCATAATGTTAGATTAGTCAGAGGAACTGACCTTAAGAAACAGTCAGTGGTTATAAGATGCCTCATTGGCAGCTGACGTCTCCCTATATTCTTTTTCTTTTCTTTTTTTGTTTGGCGGGCTTTTCCGCCCAGGGGGCAGAGATAAAGGTGTGAAGCCTGACAGAGTCTCTGCCCCCCAACAGTTCAACAGTCAACAGTGCAATGAATATATTCAGCAATTGGTATACTCAGTAAAAATAAAAAAAGAAGGCACAATGAAACAGCTTCTTTAACATTCAACATTGTGAATTGTAAAATAAAATAATCTTGCCTGTGCGGCCCTCTGGAATGGTGCTCTGCCGACTAATAACAGGATGATTCGTCACATATAAACATTCGTCATGGGGTGGCTCGTCCGTTGGATAGCTGGTTACATCAAGAGTGCTGGAGGGATATGATAAACCATACTTTTCAGTTACCAGCTATGTTACATGATGGTTATGCAGTGAGAACAATAGGATGGAATGCTTCAGCTAAAAAAAACTAATATGTACGAAAATGTATGTACTATCGTGCACACTGTTAGCTATACCACGGCAGCTGTGGCCGTTCCGTACCCCCAGCGCCACATAGTACGGCGGAATCGCTTTTCCAGGTTACAATAAAACTCTCCCCTTGTTGTTTGATAGGCGCAAATCAGATGCCGCCACAGCGCTTGCCGATGTTTGCTTCACAGGCTTTTTTGAGTGCCTCTTTTGGTACAAAGATTTCCTGATCCCTGGAAACAAGTCAGGCAAACATCCAACGAAGGGAACTGTAAAACAGTCGCGAGGAACCCCCTCCCCGGGTGGTCCTCTTTCCACGGCTGCGCGGGGGTGTGGGGAAGAGGGGAAGTGGCCGCACCCGGGGCAGTCTTTGTTTTCTTTACTTTCGACGGGTGACCGCGGTCCTCCCGAGCAGGCACCCCGTGGCGAAGACGTCTCTTCTGCGAAAAGGGCGTTTTGTTTTGTATGTGCGCTTGTTTTCTTTTGTGCTCCAGCGTCCCACAGGGTACGCTGGTAACAATTGAATTTCGGGCCAGGAGCTCTAAAATGGCGCCACTCTGTCTGGAACCCAAGGCTGTGCCAATGTTATGGAGCTGTCAGCCGTGGCCGTTGCAAACTTGATGTACGGCCGGGTTGGCCCCCAGCTGACCATTGTAGGGTTGACGCCACGTGACTTCGAAAAAGTTTGAAACCATTGGTTAAAACTTCCCTGAGGGCGAGGAAATGAGTGCCTTCAAAAGCCTCGGATGGGGCGGGGTCGATTTTGGACTGATTTGGACATCTGTTAGACCTGTTCGATCCGAATATGCCAACTTCCCCTACTTTGTGCAAATGTATGTATCATATTTATTCGGATATAAGGAGAGGTTTTCTTTCCAAAATTGGTAGTCTCAAAGTCATACCCCACCTTATATTCGAAGCTCAGTATAGCAATATAGCAATTTTTTTCTTTTTCTTGGGTCCTTCAACTGCCCCCTCGCTTTATAATCGTGACTGCCTTATATTCGAATAAATACGGTAGTTTGTAAAATAAATTGGTTCGCCAAAGAACTCGCAAAGTCTCCATCGCCTCCTGAGAACTTCAACAACCATCAGGCTGCTAAACTTGGCAGGACGAAAGTACCACCAACGAACGAATGAACATTTACTGGAACATACCAAGCTAACAAATGTCAATGCTAAACATAGAAGAGGTTTTCGCACACGCCTGCTTTCTGGACGACCCTTCAGTATGCAGGTCTCGGTTGAGTACACCGAGTGGGTACGGTTGCTTGAAAGTCCCATTATTCAACTGGCAGTCGAATCAGTTGTTATTTCTGCTTTTTCTATCAAGGTCTATTGCAACAAATCCAATGAAACAGCGCATTGTTCATCCTGTTGCATGTCTACAAAAACTGTTGTGAAGCAGCATCGCTCCACCTCTCTTTGTCGCGATCACCTCCATCCTTGGGAAAAAAAGTCCTGTTAAGGACCGAATCGGGGGGCTGCAACGTTTATGTCAGTTCCTTGGTGGCCCCCGTGACGAATCATCCTATGACCAATGTTCTGCCGTGACGAAAGGGCCTGTTGCAAGTCGTTCTGCAACGAATCGCCATGTGAGGAATGGAACGTGTTCCCCATATTTTGGTTTTTCCTTGTAACTTCCGATTTCTTGAGGTCTCTGTTTTTCGTGTCTTATTTAGGTGAAGTTCCGTATGGTTTTAGAACATTATGTATTTGTGGACTGCAAGAAACCCAGAGCCCCTTACATGTTTACCAGACTGTCGAACCAAAATTTTTATTAGTTTGATTCGGGTTCACAGCTTTCAGTTCACTTCCGGTTCAGTTCTGGGGAGCGAAAATAACGGTTCAAACTGGTTCGAACCAGTTTGAACTGCTAAATTGAGAATATATTTTCCACATTGCTTTGACTATAGTCACTATTTCCGCCGTGAGACGAGTAACTAGGTGTATATTTTATATTTGTACAATCCACTTTTATTTTAAGGTACAAAAAAATAAGAAATTGCCTTATTTAATTTCGACGCAGCAGTAAAAGAGAATCTAGATTAACATACAAAATGTCGCATTTATACGAATCCAGATCCATTTGTTTGCCGTGTCACACATATTTTACATGAATTGAAAGTTTGTCACGAAGGGTGGTAGGTTGATACCCGTGATTGGTACAACTTTGGTTAGCTGTATTAAAACTTGAATCGTGGCTGTGCTCTTTGACTAAGGAATGAATCACAGTGCATACAAATTTTAAATTGGCACTTCGTCTCCAAATATATAGTACAATATAGTTTACAAAATATGTTTCGTAGTACACACAACTGAGCTAAAAGTAATAACATTTTCAAAATGTAACCAGAGTTTTAGCACAAGCCCCTTCAGTCTACTTTTTATAGAAACACTGAGCGGCAATCACAACGCTTGTTTTAGAGCGCAGTTCTTAGGCGCCCGTTTCCGGCTTGAGCGGCGTCGCCGTTGCTGTCGGCGTAACTGCCCATTGCATTATGGGATGTTTCCCATAATGAAGTCGCACGGTACGTCACAAGTGATGTCAAGAAGGTCACGAGTGACATCACGAGGGGGAGGAGGGGATAGGGAGGACAAGAGGGTACGGAAAAGGAGGAGAGGGTACCCTCCTCTCCGTACACTCCCCTCCTCCTCGTCAGGAGGAGGGGGGTGTACTCTAATTCGGCATTACAGGAAATTGTAAACGTCTCATCTTTTTTATATCATTGTTTACACTCAGCACCGTGATGCAGAAAGGAGTGCTCAAAATTGTTCACTCTAATCTATACTCACCGTCATACTCAAATCGAATCTGGCCCAAAAGAGTGCTGTAAAAAATTTTTTATACAGGATAAATTGGCATAGCCTGGCTATTGATATATGTACCTCACAAGATGCTGGTCAATTCAGTTTGCATATATTAGCATCAGCTTTGCTAATTGATGATTTTTGTTAAATAGAAGGAGGCAGTATTTCATGATCTATTCGAGACAGCAGCTACTTAATTTGTCACTTTCTAACCATCTGTGCGTGTAATTGTCATAGTTCTGCCACGCTGCCGTGTGTACTTTGTTTTTGTCCAGCCCACACACACAAAATTGCTGTTCATCACATAAAAAAAGGCAATAACAGACTTCTGTATGTTTGAAAATTTATTTATCTGTCAGAAACACATAGTGTTTTAAATCAGCTTCAAAATGAGAAATTTGTATAAGGCTCTCCCAAATCACTGATACATGTGACTATCAAGAATAAAAACGCCGGAAAAGATTTGCAGGGCATATTTCAAATATTTAGGGGTGCATTTACTTCTGATGAATATTGCTAAGGTGATTGGCCCTTTACTTTCGTTGTCAAATGTTCAGTCAGTAATTAAATACATTTTTATATGCATCAATAAATTTGACATTATGAAGTTCACATAACCGCTTGAGACCAGCGGCGTAGACTTTCCATTTTCCCGGAGGGGGGGCAGGTTGAGCTCTCCCAAGAAGCTGAGCTCTCTTGGGGGGGGGGGGGGGGGGGGGGGTGCACATTATTTTTTTACCAAAACTGGAGATTGAAGCTAATGAAAGCACGCTGGGATTCCATTTCCCATGTATTTTGTCGATAAAGGCAACGTAAGTGTTATTTTGTTTACATGCCGCTACCAGAAGCTCGTTACATGGCACGTAAACAGCGTCTCGGTAATGATCTTGGCCCGGGCCCGGGGGGGGGGGGTCTGCCCCCCCGGATTTCACCAGGGGGAACACGAGCCCCGATGCCCCCCCCCCCCCCCCGTGGTCTACGCCTGTGCTTGAGACCATCACGGGAGGACGATACCTGAAAATACGCCAGCTGTTGAGCCGATCTGCGGAAACGTGATCTTTTGGTCGCTGCTTGGCAGTGTGAAACACAGGGTCACGGCGTATGCCCAGAAGGACATTGTGTTCCCATGATAGATCTAAAGGCAAGCACACAAAATGTGCAGGAAGGGAGAAATAATAAATGGTGTTCTTCAAAGGAATCCAATACACAATGCCTTACTACCAAAACAAATACTGTAAAACCCGTAAAGTTCGCAATCCCTTAATTTTTGCGAACTTTGCGAATTGAAAAAATTGTGAAATTCAAGGGCACGCAAAAATTTATAGATCCTTAAGAGTTTGAAAGCAGGCGCCTGGAATTCGCAAAAGGTAGTGGCCGCGATTATGTCCTCTGACCAATTTGCAAAAAATGGGGGCCACGAAAATAAATGGTTTTACAGTACATGGAGATGTAATGATATTTCTAATTACCCATAAATAGTGTGAAGGACAGACAAAGATTTGTATAATCCTAATATTAATCACATTTCAGCATTAACTTGCATTAACTAGAAACTTCTCGAAATACTGCCTCGGCACACTAATGTTATATTCAGTTTTGTGTGCAGTTGTTTCGAGCCCTCACTTTACAACTCTGTGCTTGATCAGTCATGCTCTCTAACAATTGTTAGGCTGCCGTATATCCTCGCGAGACTGCTATATATACTGCACAACTTAACAATTTCGACATTTACTTTTGCTAGTGTTATGAACATTGCATTTCACCAGAAAACTGAACTGTTTAACATATGGTTTGCATGTGACGTCTTCACACTATATGATTTCTTGCAGAGAAAATCAAATCTGGTGGTGCAAAATGCACGCTGCGGAAGGTTCGCTCTCAGTGCAATATGTGTATTTCAGATACACAAATTACTTTTGCATACACAAATTATTTTTGCTTGGTGCAGCATTGTGTGCAATGGCGCGAGCGTCGGGTATCACGAAACGCGTTTTCTGGCCAGATTGCTTTTTGCAAACAAAGAAGTTTCTGGGTTCACGCTTCCTGGTATGTGCCGAAGATGCAGGGCAGGGGGACCCCTCTTTTTTTTTCTCTCTTTTTTCGTTGCTTTTTTAGATTTTAGGTCTTTTTTTTTTGTTTCCTGAGGAACTCCCTTCTTTGTTTGGGGTGTTAATTGGACAGTTATATTTATGTCACTTGTTAACAGTAAATCTTCATTGCTTTAAGTTTGCACACACAAAAAAAGTAAAGTTTATGAACAAAATACGGAAGTGGTCAAAGCTTTGGGAAGAACTTGAGAACGACACTCCTGTGAGACTTAGAGCAGCTGCCAACGTTTGGTTGTCCCTCTGAGGCCACTAGGATCTTTCTTTGCAGGCATCTCTGCCCTACACAGTAGTGTTTCTATGTAATTCCGGTTTCATAAGACACATTTAGTCCTTTCCGCAATGTTAATATGGAAAAGATTGTTCACCTTTTCATGACTGAGGTGTGCTGTTCTGGGTTTCTGCCTTAAAATGCCTGCCAAATTATCTTTTGAAAGCATGCTTTTGCCAGAAAACATGAAAATAATGAGTGCCATGTGGGTCCATGGCTTTAGATTTTTCTCGTTAATTGGCTTTTAGTTCTGTGAGTTAATTCTTGAGAAACAATAACAGAAAATAACGGAACAGTTAGGCAGGTTTCATGAAATGATGAAATCAGCCATAAAAACTCTGACCTCTATGGTGTGAGTTTGTCATTCTTGTTTCTTTCTACTTGCAACTACTGAGCAGTTGGGGCTCTTGGCTGAGAGAATAACCGCTAGCATTTTGTCTATAAGTGCTTTTTCTTTTGTACGAATGCTTGGTCCCACTATCTTTTGTTAGTCATTTGTTTCATTGAGTTAAAAATCTGTTCTAATATAACTATTTTGATGACCCTCCTGTAGATTATCCATGGTTAGAAAATTAACTCTTAGACAGTAGCACATACCTGAATTTTAGTTTCCATATGTAGGATCAGTTTAAAGGTGTTTTAGATTGGCCAAATGACACATTCTACAGTTCATGCATTCTGAAACATGCTAGTAAATGATTACTCTTTTTAAATTGTAGAGTGGAAAATTCTTTGCAGGTTGCAAACTGAAAAATTGGAACCTCATAAGTCTGTTAAATATTTTTTTCTCCCCAATAAATGCATCTGTGATACACTGCACTTTTTCTTTCAAAATTAATCAAGCTGCTCACTGCCCAGAGGCCATCCTTCATTAAAAAATATTTTTTAAGTACTCCTGTTTATTGGAAACCTTACTTTCTGGAACATTTTCACATGTTTTCTCAACTTGCCTTTGCACAAATTGTACAAGAGCTGCAAAAATGAAGGGCCTGGTTATTTAAAGGGCCCCTTTCCACTTGTTTTCCCTCTCGACATTACGGGTGCTTAGAGGAAAGGTGGATCAGCTTCGCCTTCACGTTGAGGTGGAAAGAATGAAAGACCATCTTGTTGAGGTTGGAAGAGCAAATGACCATTCCGTGACGTCATGGACTTTGCGCGCAGAATTTCAAATAAATCTTGCGTTGTCATTATTGCTCTAGAAAGATCTTTTTTTTTTTTGTTTCGCATAAAATTTATTTTTTCATGCGTGTTCCAATCAGACTGTTTAAAAAAAAATTTCTCTTTCTTTTCAGGGGCTCTTTAAGAGAAACTGCAGTTCATAGGATAGTGTGCTTTGGTACATATCTTTCCACATGCATGGAAGAAATGGAATTCTCTTACCACTCACAACTTTTGTTTAACATTTCAGGTAGGCAATGGATATCAAATACAGGCTACTACCGACATTCATTGCATTCCTCTGCTTCGTGACGGAGACTGTCTTCTCCAGTGAAAGAGCGGAGCTGGCAGATCCTAATAAGTAAGTACAAACACTGGGATTTGAAGAAATCGTAGACTGTCTTTTTGTATCACCCCTTTTATTTCATAGACAGGCCTGCCAATTTGTTGACATTGCCAGCATGTTCCAGCTTTTTAGAAAGTTTATCTCTATACTAATTGTGTCTCTATCGTAAAATATTGAGCATTCACTCATTCCACGTTAAGTGCCCATCCCTAAATGTTTTAACATTTGAAAAAAATATGTACAGTACAAATATAGATAAAATTGGTAACCTAGCTAACAAGCACTCATCCTTCATTTTCTGGCAGTTATCTCCAAATTTTGAGTGGGCAGTTGATCGGTACTTTACGGTAGTTGTTTTTCATCTTCATCAATCTTTTGTGAGTACAAGGTGCTTTTGGTGACTGCCTTAAACCCATGTGGTTTATGAAGTGTATTTTTGGAAGGCTTTATAGACTAGAATATTTGATTTTCTGAACTCCTTTGCTTTGCAGTAAATACCCTTGTACTATTAACAAAATTTAGTGCTTTAATGTTTAACTACCAGATGTAGAGTCTCAGTGCTTTATCTGACAGTTACGAGTTGCTGAACATGCACCTCTTGTGTTCTAACAGAGCACTTCATGAATGTCTCAGTTCCTTCATGGTATATTGCCGCCCGCAGAGCCGAGAAGGCAACGCTCGGTCACGATCTTCTAGAAGATTCCCGGTCATTCTCGCAGCAGACGTAACTTTCCTTCTGCTTTGTTATTCTCGAAAGTGCCAGTTCATCCTCGCCCCGAGCGCGCGACGCTCGAACCTACTTTGCCGAACTTTCGAGATAGTGACGCAGGGTAGATAAGCGGCTCCCGCGACCTTGTCGAGTCAGTCTCAGTCTCGCTCCCGCTCTGCTTCGCCGCCGAATCGCCGCCTGCTTTTCTACTGCCTCGACGCTCTTTCGTTATTTATTTTTGGTTGGCACAAGTTCGCCCATTAAATCTTTATTTTCAGTTCACCGTTCGGCTTTTCGTCACCTTCATTCGTGACATTTCTGGTGGAGGTGCGGGGTAACGCATGTCCCTGCAGCGTACTCCTCCAAGGGCCCGCAGTGCAAGTCCGACACCAAGCCCACGAAGACCCAACGAAGACACAAGCAAGACCCGATCAAGTCGCCGCAACCAAGAGCTACCCCCGAAACTCGGATTTCTGCCAACCAAGATCAAGCAACCAACGAGGTCAACAATGGACCTCCAGTCGTCGCAGACCTCGACCACCGCCGCACCACGGCATACCACCCGCAGACCAACGGGCTGACGGAGCGACTGAACAAGACCATCGCCGACATGATCTCGATTTGGTGCACGGCAGAAAGGTGACGACGATGCTCGACGCCGTGCTGCCTCACGACCCGACGAACGACGGCACCGACGAACGACGGCACCGACGAACGACGGCACCGACGAACGACGGCACCGACGAACGACGGCACCGACGAACGACGGCACCGACGAACGACGGCACCGACGAACGACGGCACCGACGAACGACGGCACCGACGAACGACGGCACCGACGAACGACGGCACCGACGAACGACGGCACCGACGAACGACGGCACCGACGACGCCCAGTTGGTCACCCAATGAGCAGAAGAAGTACGCCAGCTAGCCCGTCTTCGAATAAAGGACCAGCAACGTGTGGACGCTGGCCGGTACAACCTTCGCCGCCGCGACGTGGAGTTCCAGCCCGGAGACAGGGTATGGGTGTGGACGCCCATTCGCCGCCGCGGCCTCAGCGAGAAACTGTTAAAACGCTACTTCGGACCCTACAAGGTCATCCGCCGCCTTGGGGACTTGAACTACGAGGTGCTCCCCGACGGAACTCGCCCATCAGGACGCCGCCAGCCACGACCCGAAGTCGTCCACGTAGTTCGACTCAAGCCATTCTACGCGCGTTAGGATTGTGAAACTGCATGTTTGTTTTGTTTCGCCGTAATTGTTTTAGCCATTTCCGTTTTCCTTTCGTTTTGCATCGGGGCGATGCACTTTTAAAGGGGGGGATAATGCCGCCCGCAGAGCCGAGAAGGCAACGCTCGGTCACGATCTTCTAGAAGATTCCCGGTCATTCTCGCAGCAGACGTAACTTTCCTTCTGCTTTGTTATTCTCGAAAGTGCCAGTTCATCCTCGCCCCGAGCGCGCGACGCTCGAACCTACTTTGCCGAACTTTCGAGATAGTGACGCAGGGTAGATAAGCGGCTCCCGCGACCTTGTCGAGTCAGTCTCAGTCTCGCTCCCGCTCTGCTTCGCCGCCGAATCGCCGCCTGCTTTTCTACTGCCTCGACGCTCTTTCGTTACTTATTTTTGGTTGGCACAAGTTCGCCCATTAAATCTTTATTTTCAGTTCACCGTTCGGCTTTTCGTCACCTTCATTCGTGACAATATTTAATTTGACTGAATTACTTCACATTATAAGAGGAGGCTCCCTTTTACCATTTCAGTTGCCATATTTGCAAAAAGGCCAGACAGATCACTTACGTGATTCTAGTCAAATGTGCATTTTACATGTCTTAAATAATAATTGTGTTGTATGTATGAATGGTTACACATCTGGAAGTTAGTCAGCCTTATTGGGTCTGGTGTCTCAGCTGTAAATGATAAATTTAGCCAGTGCAGTACAACTGCTAGCCTGGGGTCTATGACATGCAGCACGCTGTAGTGATGCCTGGCCACAGGCTGGTACAGTGCTGGTTTAAATCGCAATGGGCAGGGGTGGGGATTGAACCCAGGATCCCTGGGTTCTGCAGCGGGAGCTTTCGCTATATGTGCCCCAAGCCGAGGTGCACTAACCCACCGGGCCATCGATCCTGTCTTGCTGAACTATAAAAAAAATGACGGAAGGAAGTTTGAGAAAATAAAAAGTTAAAGATAAAACCTTGTTTCCCTCCATAGATTGCAGGAAATGGTATCAGTAAGCCTTTAAACATTGCAGTACACATATGGTGCTGATAAACCTTCTCCATGTAATAGCACATGTTCAGCTCTACTTTGACTACGTAAATGAGGCAACATAAGATACTGTAGCAGTTGAAGGATGACTATTGTCTGTTTCAGCATAACTTGGCAAACTGAAAAAGCTGCAGCAATGAACAAGCTGATCAGTGTGCCAGAGCAAGGCATGTGACATGTAACGTGTTGTTGGGATGCATTCTTTCTATGGAGGGCTGTCATATGCCTTGCTTTGTATGGCTGAGGGGGTCTTAGCCTTTGCCCTTTGCCAAGTTATGCTGGAACGAAGTTTATACACTTTGGTGTCAAGCAGTTAAACGACGCCGATGGTGTCTTGATTGACAATAACAAGGTTCTCATTTTTCAGTTACAAGCCATTCTAATGTAATTTCTCGAACTTCATGTTTAAGGAAGCATGCTTTCGTGGGAAAATCCCATGTTCCTGTAAAATACTGAGCAATGGGCCTGCCTAAAGTTACAAGATACTAATTGGAATGTAGGCATGCTAGGTTTTTTTTCGGCCACATTTTGCCTTACTTTATGTATTCCAGCAAATTCTCAAGTTTGTGAAAGTTTTGGGATCAGCGTTGGACAGATGTAGGTGCATGCTCGGTACATTTCAGTAGTTTGCTCGAACAGCTGAAGTTTTAGTACTTTGATAGCATTACCTGATGTGGGGGCCAGTTGACTTCAGATCGTCCTATGTTATTCCAAATGCTGTCTTCTGTGTTCCAGTCCTGCCTATGTTCCAGAAAAATTGAAGGATCCTCACCATGGAGTTAAAATGGGACAGATTAACCCACTGTGTGATGATGCAAAGGTGATGCATTTTTAAAACCTCTTTTTACTCAACACAATTTGGAGTGTAAAGTAGCATCCGAATACCTTGCTTTTATGAAAACTAAACATACATTTTGTTGGTTATGGAAGTGCTGCACAGAAACCTGGTATGCCTTAGAAGCATCGAGGACTGTTGCAGTTCATATTGTCTGCGATAGTACAAGGTGCGGCACTGAGCTAGTCCATTGGAATGCACGGGAGATGTTGTGTCGACACATTTTAAAAGCCTCACATCCACTCTGAACTTCATACAATCGTCTGCTTGTCGGACTAGTGAACATCTTGGTGATAATCTTGCCGCATGCCATTGTTTGTTTTTGCTTTTTTTCTCAGGATTACAAATCAAATTCTTGTTCACGGCAGATGCACGGCTCATCACTTCTACCAACGACCCTCCTGCATAAATTTGCTGCAGTCGATTCCAGTCTAACTCTTAACGACTTGTCGTTTTCAGAGCGTCCGATGCGAAATGTTTCACTGTTCTGGTTGGCGTTCCATTGGGCTTGCTCATGGTGCTGCAGCTCATACTACCCTGTACTATCGTGGATAGTATGAGCTGCCACAGCCTTCGATGCCTCTTTGGCATTCGTGACAGTTTTTGAAGGAGCTTTTATCCAGACGAAGACTGGAACACAATTTTCTGATATTCGTGAAAAATCTGAAGATAAATAAACTTTGCAGGACCACAGTCATATAAAAAGCCGAGATTGAGTGTTGCAGCTCATATTGTGCAGGGCAATGTTACTAGATCCAAGGCAGTTGACAAGTTTTTTAGAATGCCTGGCGTCTTTTCATGGTGCATTCGATTGGTGGAACTCGCTATACTATCTGTCCTCCCCATGGACAGAAGCGGTGGAACTGGTGGAATGTTGGATGCACATTGCCTGCAATGGAAAGTGATTCTATTGTGGTTTTGAGGGTAAACATAAAGTTTGCGCAAAAAGAATGTACTCTAGTTTGAAAATGGTCCTTCTTCATTGCTCATGGAGGCGTTGCTGGTGGTGCTAGGAACGGTATACGCCATATCTGCTCTTGTGCAGGAAAGAGAGAAGAACAGTTTTTAACGCTGCTCTTCCGTAAAGCTTGTCAACTGATACATCTAAGAACGTTGGTCCCAGGTTGTACATCGTGATAATTATGCAATTTGCCTTGCATACTTCTTGCTTTAATAAACGCCCATATGCACTCAGTTGTGTTGTGCCTCAATTTGAGTGGTTTTTATGTGTGCTTTAGACAGCCCTGCGGTGCTCCTTAAAGATCTCTTGCACAATTCAAGTCATTCCTAATTCAAGGTGGGGGGTAACTTCTTTGGTATAGACTCATACTTTTGTATTTACTTGAGACATTTTGCCCAATTTGTGCTCTCCTATGCCCACTAGTCTAAACTAGAGAACTGCATGGGCCTATGCACAAGCCTGATACGGTCTGTTTTAAATGTTAACCCAAGCTTAGTCCAGTCTGGTGCACTGTTTTTTCACAACTAAACTTTTTTGCCTTACACCAGATGATCCATATCAAACAATCCAAAAGAGGCACAGTTCATTCGCCAAATGCCCATCGTTCACGAGACAATTAGTAACAGGCCAATTAGTCGCATCAGAATGTCATAGGCCAATGTCATAGGTTCATTTTGAAATTCGCATCTGGATAAAGAAACAGTTCAAAACAGATACTGCTAACTGAACAATTCAGTGGCACAAAGTCATGAAATGCTTACCCACGAAAACGAGAAGGTCCAGGTACAAAGACGCCGATTCACTAACACCCCATGTGCATTCCCAGAAGGCTCTTAGATGGCCCCCATTTTTACACTTGTTGCTCTAGATTCTTTTAATTTTTCTTCATATATATAGTGTCATTGGGTTCAGGATAAATGGGTCCTTATTTTGTTTGAGTCTGGGCTACAAACCTTTGTCCAAGCCTGGCCTGGGCCCGAGGACAAGTTTCGCTAGAAACATGAGCCTGGACTGGGCCCAAGAAACATCTGCTGAAGCCCAGACCCATCCAGTGGCCTGGGCTGGATGGGGAAGATACATCCTTCTGGATGGTGTTCCTGACGTTTCCGTTCCCAGGCACCCCTCTCCTACGGCTCAATCTAATTGCACACCGAGGTCGTTGTTTTAGTCCAGTATTTTTTGTTTAGGTGCTGAGCTGCCAAAGGAATTGGGGTTGTATGAAGTGACTGTGACTGCTGAAGCTTATCTACTGAGCTAAAATTTGTCCAACAAATATTTATTGCATCCCATTTATTGATGCAGGTGAACATTTCGATTGATTTCAAGGATGATCCCAGGATGTACACTTGCTACCACCCTAAAGCCTGGTTTCCATTTGATGTTGTGGAGGTGAGATTTGTCCCTTTTTTCTGAGGGCACATGCTGGGGTAAAAATTTGAAAAGATGTTGAAGACATTCTGAAAAAAACAATGTGCTAGGGGAGAATTATAACATATTTTTATACTGTGATTTTGAATAGGACAGCCATTTGCCCCTGAATAGTCCTAAATGCGAGAAAAAAACCGAACCCAAGTACAAGACATGACAGCATTTTGGATTTGCCTATGCTCCAGACAGCCTGCCAAAGTTGCCTTTGCGCACACTCTTGCACACCAGGAGGAATCAGTCGGGATAATATTTTTGCGATTCTATTTACTCGAGGACAACCTTTTGTGACGTTTCCAAAAAAGTAAAGAGCATCCGTGCATAGCTCTGATAAGTGCTCACAGTGCTCAAGTTTTCATATATGCAGACGGCATTGCAAAGCTACCACCATGAAAATTAGTCAAGGTTGTGAAACTCTCAAGCCCCTGTCAACTACATCAAAAACAACGACAAAGACTAACTAACCTCTCTAACAAATGTCTGTTAACTAGGGAAGAAAAAAGTGTGAATCGCAAACACGTCGATTGCTTCAGAAAAGCTTGCGAGAGGCGTGGAGATTCCAAGATCAAGATCTCCGAAGAAGGTGTTACGCTCCCTCTTTGATGTGCTGCACATGCTAACTGCGCCGGGAAGAAGGGGCTTGAGCACTGATTTGAAGACGCCTTTATGGCTACTCTGCACATCAAATTGAAACTGTATTTTTGATATCTATGATCACGTAGGACAAGTGAGGATCATTCAAGTATTTTTTCTCGAATACAGAACTCTTTCTTAAAGGAACACTAAATTCCCAATAAATATTTTTTTTTAAATGCCTGGTCATGTTACAAAATCAACTCTCCCTGAACAAAAACGTATATGCATAATATTTGCATTGCGAGACTTATTTTTGAGTTGGAAGCAATTAGGAAACATGTTTTTATTCAAGGTCGATGTCTTGAAATAGAAGCCTGTTTTGGAATCTCTCCTCACTCAAAAGGAGTTGTACAACATAAATATTGCATGAAATAAGTTTTTTTTTTAGGGGGGAGGGGGGGGCAGTGTTTATTTTGTGACATACATTTTTGTCACACAATTTTTTTGTAGTGCCTGTTAGGCACATAAAAATGTTTCACTTATTTTCTTAAATATAGGAACACTTCGGCACTTGAAATATAAACAGCCATTAGGAAAAATGGTCTGTTCTCTGCAGCTAGCATAATATTTATTGCTGCAGAATGATGTAACCATCCCAGTGGTTAGAAAGCTTGAAGCATCCAATAAAACTCCCCAGAGAGTTTATGCTAGAAAGCTAGCAAATATGAATTTAGTCTCATTTTTAATCTGCTATTAATTTCTGCTGTGAAAATCCTTGCATTTAAAGTTAGAGTTATATTTGGTGGTGAAGGGCGAATTTGATTGAACTCTGGTCTTTTATTTCTAGAACCTGGCTCCCAAAATGAGCTGCGACACTGTGTTACCTAAGTACGCTGTAAGTATTCCATGACTTGACTGTGCTTCAGTATGCAGTTCTCAATTTCCCTGCTATAAACATCCTTGTTTTTTTTCAAAGCCGAGGCACTACTGCATGAACTATAAGATCAAATACGACACAGTGCTACCCACACAGTGAGTAAAGCCAATCTTGACATGTCTTGCATTTTGGTGTTTGTTCTGTTGTCCAAAGAAAAATGCAGTGCAGAGTTTCAAGGTGTGAAAGCATTGCATTTTTTTTTTTCGCGGCTATTTTTTTGTTTTTTGGCACCCTAAAGCAGCCTCTAAGAGTAACTTACTGTAATAAATGGGTAATGAGTGCCAAATTTGTTGGCTTTAACTGATAAGTAAAAAATACAAGAATTTTTAACCCATCCTCACAACACAGATTGCTGGTGCAGGAATACCTGCTTTCATGACCTCTAATCGATTTCAGTTCTATTTTCTGTAAGTTATTTCTAAATAGTCAAGTAGGGGGTCTAACTATCGGGATATCAAAACACAATCTGAAGTGTTTGTGGTTACATGAACTACCGTATTTCCTTGAGTGTGTTTGTGGTTACATGAACTACCGTATTTCCTCGAGTAATAGCTGCACTGTTTATGAAAAAAACCTGAGGGTTAGCTTTTCCGCGGAGCACACAGATCGCCAATAACCGCAGTTGACAGCATGATTCCAGCTGTTTACAGGACAGAGATAACGTCTTCAAGTGGAGATACCATCTGTGAAGATTGAAGTTGTATGGAGAATTGTTTTCTCGATCTGGTTATTCGCTATGTTATTTATGCGCAACGCAATGATTGGCTGTAAACTGCTTTGCAGGAAAGTAGATGCAAGGGCCTTGTTCATAAATGGTGCGGCTATTACTTGAGTAAATACAGTATTTTTTGTCTAAACACAATAAACTTGTCTGCTTCAAATGTTAGCAGAAATAAAACTTTATTCTTACTTTTTTAAAATCTTAGTACCCTGTCATGAGATCATGTTTAGGGGTAACATAGAGTTCTATCATCAACTGACATGTTGTTAAGTACTGAATAGATTGTATGGTGCACAACACTGTTAGTGTGAATAAGGAATCAAAATCAATATTTTTTTCTGTCGATCTCATGGAATCAAAAGGCTGTCATCAAAACTAGTGTGGTGAGAAGTGTTCATTTGAAGCACTAACTGAGGAGGTAAAATGTGGTGCTTGCCAATATCCTTTCAAACTAGAAGACAGAAAAGTTTCAATGTTGTGTTTGCACTAACGGTGTCATGCAGCATACCTCCTGCAATCAGTATTCTCTCGTAACTTGCAAACAAATCTCAAGAGGAATTTAACATTTTTAGCGGTTCAGTGTGAAAAGCATAAGTTTTGCTGCATATGTGTAAAACTTGCGAAGTTTATGCTAGAAGCCAGCTCTTCACTTGAGTGCTGGCGAAATTATATTTCTCTAACCGCTGTTTACAGTGAAGGTCACCGTCCCCTGTGGCCGGTGTTTGGCGAGTATGACTATGTTCCGCCGCAGCGATGGCTTCACAATATTGAGGTATGGCTGTTGAGTGACTGTTGATTCTCCTTTGAATGGGCTACCATGATTTCTTCATATTCTGTTGTATATGATCTTTGTGTTCAGTTAAATTGAACATTGATGATTTTCAATTGGACATTAACTTCATAACAGCACTTTGATCGTTCCTTGCTGACAGTGCTTAGGAGTTAGAGCTATTATTCAAAAGTTTTAATGTAGTTTACTTTCGAATGATGGAATAAATTATGTCAACAAGAATCATGTTATTAATCACGGATTTTGACATCCACGAGGGGTCTTCTGTCTGCTTTGTGGTCTCAGTGAGGGTGCCAGAAATGTTTTGAATGAAAAGATGTATGAATTAAGATGCAGATAGGCAAGGCTAACAACACAAGGTGTCATAGTTGTTACTACTACCATGTGATGTAAATTTAGTCAGAACTAAAAAGCTGATATTTCATTAGGGGCACCAAACTCAAAGCTACGGAAGCAGTGTAGTATATTTGTCACTAAGTTATCTGCAACTTTATCTGTAAATTACTGTTATCATTATCAGTGTTCTATTTTATTGAATTTTTTCTATGATGACTGCATCAATCGGCCCTTTGCTTCACCTTACTTTTCTTATTGTCTAATTAATATTGTCACGAACGACAGATGATGAGGTGACGAATGAACAGAAACTAAACGTTTAATTTGGCGGACTTGTGCCGAAAACAAAATAGAAGAAGGCTAGCGTCGCAGGCGTCGAAGGTCGGCAAAGCAGCACGATCGAGTGCAAGAGCAAGACCGACTCTGGCTCGCCACATGGAGCCCCTCATGTACACATGTGGGCTTCTGGAAAGAGTCGGCATAGAATGTTCGGCGCATAGAACATTCGGACCTCGAACAAGCAACGGGGTTCTCGAATTTACCAGAACACGACATTTAAAGAAATGACAAAAACATAGGTATGTTTGCTACCAGGCATCGAACCTCGGCCCTTTGCGTTGGAGCCAAGCACGATAACCATTCAGCCACGGGCACGCTTGCTTGGAGATGCCCGTGGCAATATGAGTGGGCCATCAGCTTATTTGTTTTATTCTGGGGACAACCTTTGTTGAAAGAAACACAGAAAATAACAAAAAAACATTTTTTTAAGTGCATCAATGTAATGTCCTACATATGCAATTAAAATGTTTTCTTTTTTTTTAATGCATCTAAACAAATATATTTCATAAAAAATATTTCCGTCAAAGAAATTAAGATTTTTGGTGAAATATTTACGCCGCAATATGAAATTTAGGTTGAGGTCACAACCCGCTCTGGGCCCTGCCCACAGAACGGTGGCCTGGTTCATTACTACTGCTTTGACGTGGCTGCTCGGCCAAATAAGTTTGCTAGCCAAATGTCTTCCTGTCGCCACGTCCGGTGCGTCTAAAGTACCGTTGACACCGCCTGCTAGTCGCGCGAGCAAACGTGCCGCAGCGTAAGCACTCGAGACGCGACTATGAAAGCGGCTCTCTAGCACACGACAGATGACAGATTTTAATCACAGAAAAAAAGTGAAAGCCGTTTACAACTCCCTGTAACACCGAATTAGAGCGCAGCTCTTGAGGAGGAGGAGGGAAGGGTACTGGGGGGTGAAGTGACTTGGGGGGGGTCACGTGACCTTGGGGAGTCACGTGACCATGCCGATGATGTCATCAGTGACGTCACTGATGACGTTATCAGTGACGATGACGATGCGGACTCCGATGACGTCATCAGCGATGATGACGATGACGATGCGGATGTCGGTGACGTCATCAGTGACGTCACTGATGACGTCATCTGTGATGATGACGATGACGATGCGGATGCCCCCCGAAGTCACGTGACCCCCCCAGGTCACGTGACCCCCGCCGAGGTCACGTGACCTCCCCGATGACGTCATCGTCACTGATGACCAGAGGTCGGCATTTTAGGTCGCCCTCACTCACCCTCACCCTCACAGCCACACTCACCTAAGCCCCTCACTCACCCTCACCCTCACAGCTACACTCACCTTCAGCCCCTCACTCACCCTCACCCTCACAGTCACACTCACCTTCAGCCCTTCACTCACCCTCACTGAACCTCACGGCCCTCACGCACTCACCGCCCTCACGGCCCTCACCGCCCTCACGCCACTCACCGCCCTCACGGCCCTCACCGCCCTCACCGCCCTCACGGCCCTCACCGCCCTCACCGCCCTCACGCACTCATAGCCCTCACGCCATTCACCGCCCTCACCGCCCTCACCGCCCTCACGGCCCTCACGGCCCTCACGCCACTCACCGCCCTCACCGCCCTCACCGCCCTCACGGCCCTCACGCCACTCACCGCCTTCACGCCACTCACCGCCCTCACGCCACTCACCGCCCTCACGCCACTCACCGCCCTTGCGGCCCTCACACCCCTCACGCCCCTCACGCACTGATTGCCCTCACGCCACTCAGGCCAGCTTCAGATGAGGCAAATTCGCCCAGAAACCTTACGTCGCAACACCAGCAACACGGGCCGCCCGCGATCACACGCAGCAACCAATTGCTGCAATTTGCCGTCGTCATCATAAAATTTTATTTTTCTTGCACTATTTAGACACAATTACGCGTTATAAACGTGTTTTTATGCATTTAAATCTCGTTAAGAATACTAATGCACCTTTCTGAAACAGATTATTTCCAAAAAAACGATCGATTTCAAACCAGAATCAAGTCTTTCGGTGTCATCATCAACGGCACGAGGTATCACGTGAAAATTTTGCGTCCCTGATTGGATGCAGCCGCTTCAAACACATTCGAATTGCTCCGAGTTGCTTGCTTATTCCGAGCCGCACCCGATCTCAGCAATTCGTGTCGATCTAGGGAAAACTAGAGAACAACCCGCCATTAACACCAAAATTGCTGAGAAAGATGCTCGATCTGAAGGGGGCCTCACACACTCACGTACTCATGGCCCTCACACACCTTATGCGCTCACCGCCCTCACGGCCCTCACGCCTCTCATGCCACTCACTGCCCTCACGCACTCATGGCCCTCACAACCCTCACGCACTCACCGCCATCACACCACTCACGCACTCACGGCCCTCACGCCACTCACCGCCCTCACGCCCCTCACGCACTCATGGCCCTCACCGCCCTCACCGCCCTCACGGCCCTCACCGCCCTCACAGCCCTCACCGCCCTCACCGCCCTCACAGCTCTCACGGCCCTTACGGCCCTCAACGACCTCACGGCCCTCACGGCCCTCACCCCCCTCACGGCCCTCACAGCCCTCACAGCCCTCACGGCCCTCACCGCCCTCACAGCCCTCACGGCCCTCACTCACCCTCACACTCACGAATTTTCCTGGTTCAGAAACTCACTCACCTGTGAAGATGAGGGTGAGTGAGGGTGAGTGAGGGCCCTCATGAGTGAGGTTTGCCGAGGTATGCTGATGACGTCATCAGTGATGATGACGATGACGATGCGGATGCCGGTGACGTCACTGATGACGCCATCTGTGATGATGACGATGACGATGCGGATGCCCCCCCGAAGTCACGTGACCCCCGCCGAGGTCACGTGACCTCCCCGATGACGTCATCGTCACTGATGACGTCATCAGTGATGATGACGATGCGGATGCCGGTGACGTGATCAGTGACGTCACTGATGACGTCATCAGTGATGATGACGATGCGGATGCCTGTGACGTCATCAGTGACGTTGACGTCATCGGGGAGGTCACGTGACCTCGGCGGGGGGTCACGTGACCCTGAGGGTGGTCACGTGACCTGGGGGTGTCACGTGGCTTCGGGGGGAGGGGGGGCATCCGCATCGTCGTCGTCATCATCACAGATGACGTCATCAGTGACGTCACTGATGACGTCACCGACATCCGCATTGTCATCATCGCTGATGACGTCATCGGAGTCCGCATCGTCATCGTCACTGATGACGTCATCGGAGTCCGCATCGTCATCGTCACTGATGACGTCATCGGCATCGTCACGTGACCCCCCAAGGTCACGCGACCCCCCCCCCCCAGGTCACTTCACCCCCCCAGTACCCTTCCCTCCTCCTCCTCAAGAGCTGCGCTCTAATTCGATGTTACAGGGAGTTGTAAACGACTTTCACTTTTTTTCCCCCCTTGTTTCTGCACATTTTAAAGATATTTTTTACTATTTTCCATCATTCTTATTCAATAAAAGCGCTTTCTTGAAAGGATAACGATGGTTTACTTTACGGAGTGGTACACATTGTATGGCTTCCACTAAAAAAAATTTGACTGCTCTTGCCGACTGCCAATCACAAAATGCATACCGGTGAGGTCACTGATCGCGCATTTTCAACACACCGTGTTGCCACTGGACGTTCAGCTGTTTTTTCCCCAGTCGCATTCAAATATAATGCGCTAATATTTTTGTGGCTATTACTTGTTCCCCGAGTAGGCTGAACCACTAATGAGGTAATGACATAATAGGTCAGAAGCTCAAATGTCATTAGAGGGCTCTTTTATGTATGTGTCTTTTTTAGGCCCTCTCAAAAAAATATTTTTTTCATTTCATTGTTTCTTGAAGAATCAAGTAACCTAGCTATTTAAAATTTTAAGCATTTTCAAAGAGTGCAAAAAACAAAAAGGTGTCTGCATGTCAATTCTTAACATTTGAATTTTTAAATACAGAAGTAACACTGCATTAGGCAGCTGCCTTCAGTTGGATTAATTAGAATTGTGTTAGTAAGAGATAACTACACAAAGAGTGCTTCCTGTTAATTACACCTCAAACTTTTTTGGTTGTAAAAGAGTAGGCACGGTTTAAGCAAACCTTCAGCCCCATTTAAACCTGGTTTTCTCACAGCATGGTGCCGTCGTCATGCTGTATCATCCATGCACACATCCCTTCTATGTGGATCAGCTCAGACGGATTGTGACTGGATGTCTTCGGAAGCATGTAATCACACCTTACCCAATGCTGAGTCCGGAAAGGGTAAGTGATCTAAGTGGAAAACAACTTTCAGAACACTTTTTATTGTACCCTATCCAAGCACAGTAAAATTATTTTTACCTAGATGCTCCCAGTTGCGCTTGTTCTCTCTAATAGAGAGAACTAGACACTTGATAGAGAGGTTGTAACTGGATGTTTTTATTTTCAAACTTTATTTTGAAATGTTGGTGCATTTACCTACTCTATTTCACGGAGAGAAACCCCCTGGAGAGCTTCAGAACGGCACCCAACATTTTTCTAAGTACAGCCAGGTTCTAAACTCTTACACTTCTCGGGTACATTCTGTGGCAAGGAATCATTGTTTCTGGTTTTGGGGAAATTGACATGTTCCTTTAGTACCATGTCTCATACTATCCCCATAAATTTTGATTAACCCCATAGAAGGTCAGCTAATATACCCACTACCGTAAAATCCCGAGAGAAAGCCCACCTGAAATCGAGTGAAAATATGACGTGAGCTAACTTTCGGTGTTCAGTAAAAAGAAGTTGAGAAATGTATCGCAGCCAAAGAAGGAACACAAATTTCTTAGCACTGTATTCATTCGTCGTCAAAACCGTCGAACGAACAGTCGTTCTCACTGTCAAACGAGAGGTCGACCACCTCCTAGCGCTTGGAGTTCGACGTGGTTGGCAGGGCAGCAGAAGGAGGGACCGCCGAAGCGAGCCGCTCGTGAAGCTCTCCGTTTTCTGATCCATCGAGGGCTGTTGATAAACTGCACCGCTTGAAGGAGCGGGCGACAACTTCCTCGCTCACGGCCGCCCAAGCCTTGGAAACGAAGTGCACAACATCTTGTCGAGATGGCTTCTTAAGGTTGCCCTTGGGCGTGACTGCCCCAGCTTGAATGAAGCTTGCCCAGGTCTCCCGAAGGCTGTCCTTGAATGGTTTCATCCAGCTGATGTCAGCTGGCTGCACTATCGATGTGCAGCTACCCGGAACAAACACCATGTCGGTGTCCTTTCCCGCGATTGCCTTGCGGGCGGCGTCCGTCTTGTGGATTGGGGCCTGGTCCAGGATGAGCAGGCGCCGGGCATCATCTCTGTTCGGACCACAAATCCATCGCACCCACTCTAGGAGCACATCAGAAGTCATCCAGCCATTTTTAGAGAATGACAGCCGCACGTTGGCTGAAATATAACAAATTAGAGAGCAGATAAGATACAAACGCGAGTACACAAGTGACGTTACGGGGCCTAGGGCCAAGTATGCTGCTAGGCCTAACAATGCTACGCCGCAAAACACGAAACGAAAAAAAAAAATATTGCAGAAGACAGATTGTAATAGTGAGCGAGCTAAACATTTTTCTTAGTTTGAAAAATAAAAAGTATTACGGTATTTGTATGGATGGTTTTGTAATTAAAAAAAAAAATTACATAATATCTGGAACGCTGAGGGCGAACAGCGCCTTCGGAGGGATCCGGCTGGTCGGCTCTTTCAGGATTATAAATGTCGAGAGCTTAATCCCCGCCGCGGTCGCACACAACACCACCGTAAACCCACGACGGGAGCATCCAGTGTTTGCAGTCCAGGCGCTTGCTCCCCCGGCGACACTGTTAGTTCGCGTTGCGGGTTGGTCCATTCACACCATCGTCTGGTCCATGTTGGCAATGGTTAAGTCATTGTAGTTGTGCTGGAGGCGCAGCGTGCCTACAGTCCTTCGGAAGGCCGATACCGCCTCCACATGGTCAATCGGGAGCTTCTGTCTGTCGTTGGTCGCGGCGCGAAGTGACACATTGAATCTCTTCTTCCATCGGGACAGGTATTAGCTCGATGCGTTGAAGTTGCCCACCTTGGCTTCCGATGCGAGCCTCTGTGCTTGCTCCTGGAGCAGGCAATTACTAACCGCCCTGCCCGCCACCCTTTCTTCTTGTGGAAATTCAAAAGTCCGTCGTCGATCTCCTCGGAAAACACAGGTCGACCGCTGTTCGAAGACCGCTTAAACTTTCCTTTTCCGTGACACTCCTGAAGAAGAGTTTCGTACGTAGAGTTCCACTGCCTTACTTGCTTACGATTCAGCCCAAGTTGGCGTGCGGTCTTACTCACTTTGCTGCCAGCCTTTTGGTGCCACCGGACAACCTCCGCTTTCTTCTCCACGGTAAACCTTTCTGCATCGTTCCGTTCTTGCTTCGCAATGAAAGACGAATGACCGGAATGTTCAGGGATGCGTGGTAGCCATGTTTTGGATTCGTGCGGAAAAGCAAAGGTATTTCCCGAACAGGAGATAAGTAAAAAGGGAAAATATTTCGCTACGGCTTTACATGTGTGCGGACTGCATTGTCAACCCAGATGCGCACGTGTTAATTTTAGATCCTGTGACCTGTTATCGCAGCCAGTCTCCATTGTTAGGTTATCTCCCACATACCCTACCTAGGCCAGCTAACCTCGTTTTCGTGGACGTCGCCCCCGGCTTGGATGACGCTATTGTCAGGGGTGGGTTATCTTTCAGTGTTTTTGAAGAAATTGAAAATCGTGCAAAAAACAGGGGGGGGTTATCTTTCGAGGGTGGGGCATCTCGCGGGATTTTACGGTAATTGTTTTGGCAGGACACCTGCTTCAGAGGAAAATGTGTGTGGTGCCATTCTTTTTAGAAAGTGAAAGTGCATAATTTTTTTCAGCCAATGGCATTGGTTGCCTGGGGATGCAGGTACGAGATGAGCAGCGTCAATAAGAAAGAAGTGGTGAAATTTATCAAAGTAAGTGTATTGCACTGTTTACTCTCATTTGTCTTTAGCAAAGTGAAAAGTAGAGCCCCATTGATAAGTCTTTACAGCGGAGCTGTTAAGGGTTAGTTTCCCCAGTTTCGTGTCCGGTACCAAACAAAAAAATATCGACACAAAACTGCACAAAACTCTGGACAGCGACTGCCATCTATGAGCAACGGCGGCAACCAGACAACTGATCTGGTTGCCGCCATCGCTCATAGATGGCGGCAACCTTTCGAGCCTTTTCGCCAAAGTGCGCGATGGTCCAGTGGTCGCAGTCGTGTACGTCCCCCCCCCCGCAATGCCTAAGAGAGACATTGAAGCATTCATGATGGACGTCTTCAGCTGGGTCATGCTCGGTGACGACACGTCCACCATAGTGACGGGTGACTTTAACGTTGACATTGCACGCCAGGAGAAAAAGTGGTTCACTTCGTCTATGCTCGAGCGCCTCGCGCTTGCGTGAGTGCACAAACCTATGGTGCCCACGACCAGGCATCGGACGTGTATAGACCTCGTCTTCACGAAGAATGTGCCTACCGTCAGCGTACACGTTATGGCGGTGTACCAAAGCGATCACGACGCCATGGTCACTGTGGTTACGAAATAAGTCACAACTCTGGATCGTTATATATATGTCTGATTCTTTAATCGTTCAAGTAACCAATTACCCAATCACACCTTAATCCTTAAATTTATAAATACTTCATTCCCACCACAGTACAGCTTTGCTGGTCTTCCTTCCTCACCAGAGTAGCAAGGCTGACAGTTTTTCATTGCTACTTTTATACAATAATTGATTCAAATTGATTTTCCCAGCTGATGAGAAATATTATTTTTATTCAAATATAGATTGTCACTCTTTTTTGGGGACTGTTCTTTAGGATTTGAGGTCGATCTGTAGCCCTTAGCAAAGAATGTAGACCTATGAGAGTGAGCAAACTTTTTGGGCCTATCAAACTAACCCAGTGACTCCCCTATGTCAGCTGCTGTCTGTTCCTATACCCTGTCCACCCTTAGGCTGAGACTACAGACAAAGCTACAAGCGATAGCTAGCCCGTGCTCCTTGCTTTGAGACTTGCCTTTCTAGCATGAGCGCTCGCTCTTTGGAACAATGTTTCAAAGTGAAGATATTGTGTTGTCGCTCTTGTAGCCTTGGCTGCAGTTTCAGCTTATGGGTGACAGGAGTATAGCATGGCTGGTGCGAAGTGATGAAGTATGATGCTTGCGCTTTGCACCGGCAGTGGTAGAAGTTGGTTACATTTTTTTCCAGAAAATTCGTAAAAGCTGTCATTTTGCCTTGTGGGCCCATATGTTCTCTTTATTGTACAGGAATATATATTCGTAAAACAGGAATTTGTTGTGGTGGTCAGTTTAAGTTCTACATCATTTAACCAGCATCTGCGTAGTATAGGCGTTCATTATAAAGGCATTTGACTGTAACCATATAGTTAACACAACAGTTGGGAAATTGCTAGACATATTCTTATAGAATTTCAACAGGTGTTTGTAGGCGTAACAGCCGGGAAAATGCATCGATCAAGAGCTTATCAGTGAGGTTCTGCTGTATTTTAACCTTTTTGCGTTGCCATGCCCTATCATAGGCAAAATGTCTGGGTTTCTTAGTTCTATATGATTATCTTCTCGTACTGTGAACAAATGTTCTGTGTTCAGTTCTATTTGTTGTCAAATCATGTTTATTCATATAAAACATAGCAAATATTACTTATTGTTGAACAAGTTTGGAACTAAAGGTTCATTCACACATTTGCGTTCGGAGCGACCACTATGCTTACGAACGAATGCAACTGCTGCGACTTCAACGACAACTGTACATGACGTGTACACACATATGCAACTGCATGCAACCACACGAATCAACAGCCAATGAGAAACGAGCTTCAGCTCTTGCTCCTAGCCAATAGTAAGTAACCCAGCTATGCTTACAAACATGGCGCACGGTTTCCTGCCCAACGCGAGGTCCATCGTCCTCACCGGAGCAGCCAGAGGTTTCTGCTATGGCGTACAGTCACAAAGTTCTGCTGTGCGTCTACAATAGCTGTGTAAAGGCTGGTTGAGACATCTGAAACAAACCCGTTATCCACGACTGTGTCCATTGGGACCGGAACGACCGCTCTGCGCTGCGTGTACACTCCTGCAACCACTGCAACAAGCGCAGTGCGTCAGCAGCACGGCAACCGCCTCTCCGCTGCCGTCAGCTCTTTCAGCGGTGCCTCTAGAAAGAAGGGGACGCGCTGCCACTCACTTGTGTAACATTAAATAGACAGACCGTCTTCTATGACTACAAACTTTATTTTTTTATTTTTCAGGATACGCTTGCAGGGTAGTGCATATAAAAAAAGAAAAAAGATGCAGTACGCCGACTTGCACGATCACGACTTTAATACATGACTGCCAATAGTACAAATCTCGCCACACGCCTTTTCTACGATTGTAAAAGACAATGTAATCTTAGCAGCGATATAGCAACGTAGAAATATAATTTCTTGATGAGATAGACGTTGCGAGCGTTCAGGATTGCTAACACTGATCACCTTTCTCGGGTGATGAAAACGCGTGAAAATTCGCATCCTTTTTACGGTATGCACCAGTAATACCTTGAACTTGAGCACACGCATGGAGTGCGCCAAAAAAGAAATCCGGGCGATGTTCGAGGACACAAATGCTAAGAAAGCACCACTGTAGTCGAAGTAAACAAACACGACGGCACGGGCATTTCTGCTGTCGTGAGAGTGCCGCCACGAGATCGCTGCACGAGTAAGTGGATCTTTCCTTCTAGTATGTGCTGGGTTATCATATTGACACACAATGAAAATTCACAGTCAAGGATAGCGCTTTTACGGGGAACGATGAGCTTCCACCACGCCGTCCACGCCGATAATCACCACCGACGCCATGTTTCCAGATAGAAGGAGCCCGGCACGACGGGCATGCAACGCGCGCGACCGAGGTCTCCTCGACTTGTGATTGGTCTGTCGCTCCCGTCGTTCCCGAACGTAACGAAAAAGTTCAGCCCGGCTCAACTCCTTGCGTTGCGAACGAACACAAACGAAACAACCGTTTGGCGCTTCGTTGCTATGGTAACTCGTTCCAACCGGTTGCATTCGTTCGTAAGCTTAGTGGTCGCTCCGAACGCAACTGTGTGAACGGGCCTTAACAAACATAGCGGTCACTTCTCATTGGCACTACCAATATGGAACTGAGAGTAAGTTAGACCTAGATGGCATGAAAGTGTCTCGGTGCATTTTTGAGCATGCTACCATTTGTTAATCAGCTTTCTTATTGTGCTTTACAGGAAAAGGCAATGAAAGGTCCTGAAGCACACTACGCCAAGGAAGGCCAGTATTCACACATGCTCCGTAAAAAGGCAGTTCCTCCCAAAGGATCAAATTTTGAAGACAGTGTCATCTGTCCCAACGACTGAAACATATTCGTTTAGCTCTCCTCTCACCAATGAAGACGGGAGCACTGCCACACCACTCACCTTTGGACGAGGAGTGTGGCTGCCCCTGGAGCATGTCCTTCTGCAAGCCTCTGGTTGTTCTCATGCCTCCTTGTCACGTGTCAATCAAGAGTCCACTTAAACAGCAGGAGACAAGGGGAAGACCAGAGCTTGTCACCATCAAGTTGCGAGACCCTGTTATGTGCTTTTGCTACCTTGACCATAACTTACGAGTTTAGAGGGCGCATTTGTCTGGGCCGTACTGGACAGCACCACAATGCCTTGCATTCCTGGACTTTAGCTTAGCCAGTGCTAGCTTGCACTATTAAGGCTGGTTCAGACATTTGCACTTGGGATTGCTTATAACAATGTGGTTGCTATGGCAACCAAGGTCTGTGCCATGCATTGCAGCAGAGCGCAAGGAGTCGTAGTGCAGTCGGTTATACCCAAATGCAAACGTCTGAACCAGCCTTTAATTGCGTGAATTTAAAAAAAAGGTAGCACTCTGGTCTTACGCGGCATGGCACAGAGGGATGTGTTCCTAGACTTGCTGATCCTCCTGGTTTGAAGAAACCATTGAGGTTTTGGTTTCTTATAACCTTATGGGGGATTAAGCAGGCTGGTATTGTTTTGCTAGTGCTTTACTCATTGTTGCAAAAACATGGCCTCTGTTCTGTAGCATGCATGTTTTTGGTAGCAAAATATGGACTGGACTTTTTCAGGCATCAGGTGAATGGATGTTTTGTTCAACTGTCTTAAAGGGTAACTGCAAAGAAAAAAAAGTGTATTTATAAACAGCATAATTGGGGCAAGCATGTAACAAAACAATTTTACCAACAAAAGCAAAATTTTTTACAGCAATATTTATTATGCGGGACTGATTTTAGTTTGTGGCTATTTCGTCCGTTTTAAATTGCGCGCCACAAAGTTGGTATTATACGTCACGGAGTGGCTGCTATACGTCACGGAGTGACGTATTCCAGCCACTCTGCGCGCGTCGAAAGAGTGGGAGTTTCATATGTGGATAGGTTGTAACTCCGACTAAATTATGTCCTGTGGCGTAAATGTTGCTAAAAAATTTTGTTTTTTTCGCGGAAGATTTGTTTTGTGACATGCTTGTCCCAATTAGGCTGTTTAAAAAAAACTTTTTTTTCTTTGCAGTTACTCTTTGAAGGAAGGATGCACTCTTTGTTATGTGACACTTCACGGTAACTCTGAGTGCCACAACCAATCTCTGAAAGGCATTTATCTACATAGGGCCATAATCAGCTGCCCAAACTTTGAGCCCACATTCCTGGCATTCCCTGTGTCGGCAATCTGTAGTGAAGATTGCTCAGGCATCTACAATGCAGGCACAAGCAAATTTCCTTGTAGCCTGTAAGATGTTGTGGATAAACATGCACTTTGCTACAGACCCAGTCATTCCAACACCTCTTGGTGAATCTCAAGGAAGGTATTATAGCCTGTCATAGAGACCAAAACTTGTAAACACTTTTTGTGCGTGAAACTGCAGAATGCTAGCTGTGGAATTGATTGCTACTTGGAATGTTTTTTTTTATGTGTGCTGCCACTGAGCTTAGTTGTAAATTGTCATGTGGGAAACTAATTAGTATTTTGTGTCTGAGGTGCAAGAAAGTGACAATGATGTGGGGGCAGTGCAAGCTTCTTGCCATTTATTCTAGTTCCAGTCTTTTGGAAGAGTACATGTCTTAATGTCAGCTTGTGCAATGGATTGCTCATGCATCTCAGTACTGTTTACATATGGGGATTATAGGTGCATACAATCAGCGCTAATAGTGTCCTTGGAAACTGTGTAGCCCATTTTCTGTTTGTGCAAACATGCAGAAACAATCATCTAGGCATCTGCTTGGTAGGGTAATAATGTGAAACATTTTGAAACTGTGGAAATCAGGACCATGTTCTATTTGAGTGCAGTTGGTTTCTCTCATACTTGAACTCCTTTGTTTACTGGTGTATGTGACATGCCTTGCACACTGAAATAGTTTTAGAAAAAGGTACTTTCTGTCAAATTATACCAGTAAAGTGTAATTAAATTTTTTTTTTTGCAAGCTCATTAGCAAATTTTTTTTACGTAAAACCCTGAGCTAAGTAGCAAGAAACAATTCTTTACTTTTTCTGCATCATGTGCACCTTGGAGTCTGGGTCATATTTGTTACCCATAAAGCCTACAGGACAGCTTTGAAGAAGATTGATATTATGTTTTTTAAATTGCATTATGCACTGCTGTACAGTACACATAAGGCCTGGGTTTGTAATCGGTTATTATTTATTGGTTTTGCTATTTCTAGATATAGAAGTCTGGATCTGATCCCACCACACAGAATTGAATAAAAAATTAACTATGCATAATACGTAAATAGAGGTGCAAAAAAAAAAAAGGAAAAGAATTATGTTGGTTCAGTCTTTTCTGTTCTGTTTGCGCACGCTGAAAAACACAAGATTTCCATTTTAATCCATTTTTTTTCCTCTGATCTACAAAAATAATCTTTGGTGTAAACATATCCATGTTCTTTGTTAAAAATACTGAAAACCACAACTCTAGTGCATGGCATGCAGTAAAGTATGTTGTATAGCAGAAACTATGAAACTAACAGCACACAACTGAACATTGCAGAACATGCTAACATGATGCTCAGAATATTAAACTAAGGTTGTTCCACACATAGTATGCTTTTATAAGGCATTCCATTCAGAATGTTTCATGGTCTTTGTTCTGATAGTGTTTCAGGACTCGCCATCTGAGTGGAGCTTGCAGAATTTATACGTGATATAGGGCTGCTGTCTTTGTAAACAAATTAAGTGTACTATTTCAGTCACTCTGTAACACTCAAATAGTGACTGCTCCATACTGCCAGCACCCTATTGCCACTCCTCCCAGAATCACGAAGCCAGAAATGAGTGTGAAACCGATCCGGAGGAGCACTTTAGTTTCACCGAGCATCTGTGTTTTGGGGAGTACCTGCTGTGAAGTGCTGGTTGTACAAGACAGCCACCATTTTCGTCTTACAGCTAACAATGTTCAGCATAGAGTCGCCAGTACCTTGTAACATGGTTTCAGTAATTTGCTGGCATGTGAGGCATGTACACGTCACAAGTAATGTTGTGGTAAGTGCATTCAGATATGTTTAGGTGTTAGCTCAATGTTAGCAATGTAAGTATGATCAGCCGTTTTAACTGATGCCTTGTTTTAATGTGGTCTTTGAAGTTTGGATAGAAGCTAACCATGGAGCTTTGGGTTCACACTCACACTGAGCACCAAATGTAAGGTGCTTTTATTTCCAGAACAGAGTGGTGCATGCAGTGTTCTGCAGTTTTGTTCCCAACTTTGAAAGATTCTTGGTCTATATACATATGTTATTTAGAAATATTTTTTTATTTATTGCTTTTTCTGTGTTTATATCCAAGGTGTCAGTCATTACCTGTGTGTATATTTCTTGGTCTCAAGTACAAATATTGGTTCAGGAGGTTGCTGATTTACAATGAGCTTCGAACAGCGGGAAATGCTTTTTCACTATGGTTGTTTTAGGTGTCTGTTTATTGTGGTTGCCTGAACCTTATGCATACTGTGGCACATTTTCGTATACACTCGTATCTCAGAGGCTGCACATGACTTTAATTCCTTTGAATAGGATCATTTTCTACTTTACCCCTTTGTTGTTGTTTTACTCTGCATGGGTGCAATCACTTTGTAAAAGAGTACTAGTCATAAACAACGCCGGATTTAAGTACTCCATTTGTTTTGTTGATGCAACAGTTGAAGTGACCACTTTGATATAAAATGATTTCTTGGTTATTGTTTCTTGGACAGATTATACTGAATTTCAAGCTGATCCAGTAAACCCGTTTTTGGTGTAGCTTGACTACCATTAGTTTATTACAGATACTATGTAGCCTAAGCACATCTCCGAATTGGCTGACAATATTGTATATACTATTCTGTTTGTTATAATTGAAGGTCAAAATCAATGAAGAATAGTTTGATACTGTGTAGAAAAGCATGTTAATCCAAGATTAAAAAAAAAAGTCTAACTGAAATTGCATTTCCGCGTTAGTTGCTTTCTGTTTTCGATGTAAGTACTAGTACTTCGTTTAAAGATATGGAAGGTAGCAGACTATTTGTGCAGGGCTATGTATGTGATGTTGAAATTCTCTCGCTGGTTGTCAAACATCTTGCGAGCACTGGTGTCATTGTGCCAAAAAATGGAAAAGTGTCTATTTTTAATATGACGTTCATTTTGTACCGTGTTTACAGAGCCAGAGAATGACGAATGGAATATACACAGAAAAGAAGTAAACACGTTTCAGTCAAGTGGATTGGGCTGTGCTCTTTTCAGTTCAGGGGTGGAACGGCTGCGCCATTTGCGCCATTTTGCGCCAGACGCATGTGTCTGCGCCATCCTGCGCCATGTTGCTGAAACTGCGCAACAGCCAATACCTCGCGCCATTATGCGCCAGATCACAAAACGTGCGCCAAAATCTTTTTATTTTGTCTTGGTTTCGGTTTTATTGACTCGATTGGCAACAATGAGCGTGTTTAGCCTGGTCGGCTTTGCAATCCCTTCTTCTGTTCATACTCCCTGTGTATCCCGAGTCGGAAGCGCGCGAAAAAACTCGGATTCTAAGCGCTACACCACCTGCGACTGGATTGTTATTCTTCAACCATAAGCAGTTAAAGGGCAACTCCGCTTCATTTTTGATATTTAGAAAACTATGTAGCCCTCTTCAGTATCATATAGGAAGACCCCATGTCAAATATTACGATCTAATTCCGTCTATATATTTAATAAACTGGCCAGCAAACCTTCAAGCGAGCCCAGTCGCCGAAATCTGCCAACTCTAGCGTGCGTTAAGTCGTTAAGCGTCAGATTGCCTGAGGTTCTCCGGCCCGGGATCCGGGACGCTGACGTCAGCTAGTTGGAAACAAATGAGTAAATTATTCCTTTTAGTACCTACTTCATCGTTAGAAGTTGGAACCGCATTCTCGCAAGATAAATCGTGATTTGATAGAACTGAAACGCGGTCCGATCCGAAACCTTGCCGGCCAGCAGCTCTTACGCGAGTGGCATATCTACTCGGCGTACATTAACCTTGCTCCTACTTATCGCTTCAAATACAATAACTTCTTTAATCGTAGTCTGCTGCTTCGATATCGAGTTGCACAATAGGATATCAACTCGAAATTTGTTGCTCTGTTCTTCCGTGCAACCGCACGTCCGTTGCTTAGGCACGTCACGTGGTCCGGACATTAAATTACTATGTCGAGCACGTGTGGGCTGCGTGATAAGCAGTGCTGGTTTGCATTTTGAGCAGCTGAAAGCTACTCAGGAAATATCAAGGACGCTATCTTTAGAAACATAGGATACTTGCTTTTTGATTCTCATTAAGGCTCGCAAAGTTTCAAGTTTTCTCATCTGTTACATTGTTATCCCATCTACCTAGGTCCCTAACCACCCATGTCCATCTGTGCTGCTAAGCACGATTGAAATTGCTCCCGTGCGTGTCTAAGACACAAGCTGAAGTGCAATGAAAACTGATCTGAGCTGCTCCTAGCCTGCTTCAGAATGTAGTTTTAGCTGCTCCCAACCTGCTCCAAAACAGCTGTTTCAGCTGCTCCCGTGGCTGCTCCCAAGTACATTTCATGAGTTCCACCCCTGCAGTTGCATGTTGTCTTTTACGTTTGACGCTAAAGGCGATCGTTGAATATACGCGCTGTTAATTTGTTTTATATGGCCTGCAGACTTGGTGGCGTGTTCAACTGCAACGTCACCTGGATGAAAAGCCGAACAGTGCTTAATTTTCTACTTCACCTACCGACGGTCAGCGAGGGGCACATGCCGGACGCGAGTGCTATGTCAGCGTTCACCCGGAACTCGCGTTCTGTTGGTCAGAACACGGGTCCCGGCCGCACGCTGACTCGGCACTCGTGTCGTGGAACGGTTTGAAGAGGGTGGAAAACTGGGGTACTTGCCAAGCATTCATTCCGGTTAAAAAGCGCACAAAAGACGGACAAAGTGGACAATAAACACGAAAGACAAGCGCTCACTCGCAACTGGCAGTTTATACCCGCGCCACACGGGCAGTGGCAACTCGAATGCCATTTACAACGAATGACATTTGAGCTGACGGCCAATCAGCGCGCGACACTCCGGGCGTGGCGCATTCCACGCGCGACAGATTGCGAGCTGATTCGCCGATTACACAAATGTCATTCGTTGTAAATGGCATTCGAGTTGCCTGTGTGGTACCGGTATTAGTCGAACTTCGAAAGTCACATAGGAAAAAACAAATGGTTCTCCCCCACCCCTCCTTCCTTTTGTTCACGCAAAAAACAATTCACCCCCCCCCCCCCCCCCAAAAAAAAAAAGCCGGTGATTTTTTTTCATTTGTGGCAGTACGTAAGGGGGTGATGTGACCAAATATAATTCAGCAGTTAAACATATAGAATAGCGCAAAAAAAGACAAGGACAAGAAGTATACAGGGCAAGCGCTAATAATATAAATAATACAACCAGTTTGTAACACACACAAAAAAAAAAAGTAGAGCAAAAGACAATGGTAATAAAAACTGCATGCAGTGACAATCTGCTAGGACAGTGGTGGTTAGCTGAGGTGTAAGGTGACTGACTGGTGGTAACTGGATGGGTCTGAAATAATTACTATTTCCTCAGGGAGGGAGTTCCAGATGGTTACAGCCTGTGGAAAAAATAAGGTGTCAAATAAGACCATACCACTTAGCGCTCTCATGGCGGCGCCATGGAAGGATTGGTGGATGAATCCGGCTGAGCCCTTTGGATCGGGCGGTAGCTTACGCCACCTAGCCATTTTGTTTTACCATTTAAGCTTTGAATATTTAAATGTGAAATCTATATTCACTCCGCGCTACAAAGAAAATGAGGCTATAAAAAACCCCTTGTCATCAGTTAACAAGAAAATACCTAGTTTTCTCGCTTTCTGCCACCATTCACTTAATCTTTGCTTGGTAATCTCTACAGTCTTGAAATCCACTCTCCCTTCGTTGTCTCTAAAACCCAATGACTTTATTAAGTCTATGTTGTCTTCGGTAGACATAGGGTGAAGCCCTTTACAGTAGAGTATCAAGTGTTCAGCCGTCTCATCCTCTCCACAAGCAGTGCACACTGTATTCATTTCCTGGTACTTCGCTCTGTATGTTCTGGTTCGCAGAACACCTGTCCTCGCGTAAAACAACAATGAGCTTCCCCTAGAATTGTCATAAGTGCTTTCTTTGGCAATAACTGCTTTGTTTAACCTATAGCTTTCCAGAGCCGTCTTTGTCTGCATTCCCTCTAGCCACCGATCTCTTTCTGTGGCCTTAACTTTCTTCTTAACTGAGACCTGCTCTTCCGTATCTCCACTATAGCCTAAAAACTTTCCTCTTAATTTCCTAGTGCGCTGTCTCCACTTTGTGTCTATATTCCTCATGTATAAGTAGCTGAACACCTTTCGTGCCATTGTTCCCCATCTATTTGCCTCAACTGATCCTCAAATTCTATCTTGCTCACCGCTTCCCTGCACTCTCAAATGACGCCCATCCTATGTCTCCTTGTACTCCCTGGTTTGGCGTTTTGCAATGTGCCCCCAAAGCCAGCCTACCTACTCCGCGCTGTTTTATTTCTAGTCTTGCATGCACTTCAGATTTCATGCATAGCACTGCGTTTCCAAAAGTCAAGCCAGGCACCATGACCCCTTTCCAAATCTCTCTCACCACCTCATACCTGTTGTAACTCCAAAGTGCTCTATTTTTCATTACAGCTGCATTTCTGTTGCCCTTGCCTGTTATATACTTTTCATGCTCACTGAGATATTGTGCACCATCACATATCCATACTCCTAGATACTTGTATTTACTAGCTCTCTCAACTGTAATCTTCTGTATCTTCAGCCTCTCAACTTCATCATCGTTAAAAATCATGACTGCTGATTTTTCACTACTGAATTCTAAACCTAATTCCTCTCCTTCCCTACCACAGATGCTCATTAATTCCTGCAACTCTGTCCTGTTGTTAGCCATTAGTACGATATCATCCGCATACATCAATCCCGGTAAGGATTGCTAAATTGTTTGGCCTAGCTTACTGTGCGAAAGGTCGAATCCAAGCCCACTCTTCTCTAGTTTATCCTCCAATCCTCTCAAATACAACATAAACAGCAAAGGCGATAACGGGCACCCCTGCCTAAGGCCTCGTCTTATCTCTATGTTCCCTTTCGCCTTTCCTTCCCATGTTATAATCACCTTATTATCTTTGTAAATGTTCCTTAATAGTGCTGGTAGTCCTTCATCTAGGTTTAAGCTTTCCACTATGTCCCACAGGTTCTTTTGGTTCACATTGTCATGGTACCCTTGATATCCAGAAATGCCAGCCAGAGCTGTCTGTTTTCTTTTTGCGCTATTTCTCACACTGTGTTAGAGAAAATAAATTGCCCTCCAACCTTCTTTGTTTCCGAAACCCGTTCTTAACTCGCCTAGTATGCCTTCGCAATCTACCCATTCCTCCAGTCTGTCCTTCATAATCTGCATTACCAACCTGTAAATAACTGGTGTCACGGTTATGGGACAATAATTCCTAACATCAGACTTATTTCCCTTTCCCTTACATATCATACTCATCCTACTAAGCCTCCATTCATCTGGAGTATTTCCTTTTGTGATCATAGTGCTCACTACCCCCCTTAGTTTTGCCTTAGATTTAGGACCCAAATTCTTCACCAGCTTGATTGGGATACCATCTGTGCCTGTCGACGTGCCACTAGGGACTCTTCGTTCCGCCCTTTCCCATTCTCTTTGTCCAAAATCCGCGATGTCACAAGCTGAACTTCTACTTCATTCGGTTCTCCTATCTTTCACATGTACCCGTTCCCGAAATTTCTCCTCCATCACTGCTCCTATATATCGTATTGCATCATCTCCCTCTAATTGATCTCCCTGATGCGAGAGTATATGAACCTCTGTATAGCTTGCGTCGTTTCACCGAGTGAGATCGAGTGCTCCCAAAACTTCTTGCTGCGTTTCTATCTTTCTTACTTACATTACTCATCCATTCCTCACCCTTTCTCTCAATTTTCGCATTGATCAAACTGGATGCCTCTCGGCGACATGTTATAAAATTGTCCCATTTCCTTTTTACTTCCGTTTCTGACTCCCCACTACGCTTGGAATACCTGTGTTCTCTAGAGGCATCCTGACGCTTTTGTATCGCTTGCTTACCTTCTTTGTCCCACCAGCTTTTTGGTCTATGTCCTTGCTTCCCCTTTCGTTTACTCTGAACTTTGTCTGGTTCCAGAGCAAACAG